ATTTATTTTTAAAAATGTAAAAGATATTTTATTGATTTCCTACAGAGAGAAATAGAGAGGGATAGAGAGTTAGAAGCATCGATCAGCTGCCTTCCGCACTACCCCCACTGGGGACGTGCCCTCAACCAAGGTACATGCCCCTGACCGGAATCGAACCTGAGATCCTTCAGTTCGTAGACCGACACTCTATCCACTGAGCCACACCAGTTTTGGGTTGGGCCTCTTTGTAGAAAAAGGACTCTAAACTGGTGCCATGTTTCTCTCTCACCTGCACACCTGCCTGGATGCTTAATAAAGTGAATTATGTTAAGGCAGGGGGAGATAATTCTTTAAGGTAAAATCATGACATAAACATGAAAAACAGACATGGGCAATACATTTCCTTAGTTCAAAATCCCAGTGGGCCTAGCTGGTGTGGCTCAGTGGTTGAACGTCAGCCTATGAACCAGGAGGTCACAGTTCAATTCCTGGTCAGGGCACAGGCCCGGGTTGCAGGTCCCATCACCAATAGGGGGCGTGCAGGAGGCAGCCGATCAACGATTCTCTCTCCCTTTCCCTTCCTCTCTGAAATAAATAAAAAAAGAATATCTATATCTATATAAATCTATCTATCTATCTATCTATCTATCTACCTACCTACCTATCTATCTACATACTAGAGGCCCAATGCATGCAATTTGTGCAAAAATAGGCCTTCCTTCCCCCTAGCTGCCGGCACCAGCTTCCCTCTGGCACCCAGCCCCAGCTTTGTCTGGAAGGTCATCCGGAGGGATGTCTGGTCTAATTAGCATATTACCCTTTTATTATTATAGAATATATACATACACATATATGTATATATGTGTGTATAGACTAATTAGCATAATACCCTTTTATTATTATAGAATACACCATACATGTATGTATGTGTGATTGTATATGTGTATCATACATGTGTGTGTATATATATATATATATATATATATATATATACACACATGCATACACACATACACACACACACACACACACACACACACACATTAGCCATTTCCTCTTTCCAAAACCCACAGCTTCAATCTGCTCCCCGCTTTCTGGGTGTTAGGGGTTAGATGCCACATATCCAAGAGGCCATTTCTTAAACCAGAGTGAGCTGGGCTACGTTCAGCTGTTAAAACCCCCGAGAAGCATCTTCCCCCACTCCTGTTAGGCAGCCTCAGAATGTTACTTTTCTTTATGTTTCCCAAACAGCTCGGGAACTGAATGCAGTTGGTCCCTGAGCCCGGCGGCCAGAGCCTAACATTCCTGGCGTGGCATCTCTGAGTAAAAACAGACCCGCGGGCCTCGCCCCCAGCTGTCTCTAACCTGCTCGCCTACAGCCCCAGCCCGGGGCCCCGTCCTATTTTTAGATGCCCTCAGCCCCAGGTTGCCTTTTCTTTCTCACAAGGTTGCGCTTTTTTTGGCCAAGATAACCAGAGAGTCCTCTGGAACACTTAAGGATTCTGTAGTTAAGGTTGGCACGGCAATAATCCTTTTTAAAAGCCTGAATCTTGAGCAGGGACAGATTTTTTAGCTCCTCCACCTTTTTTTAAAAAAATTTCTTTTCAATTTGAAACATCTGATTGGTCCGGCCAGTGTGGCTCAGTGGTTGTGTGTTGATCCAGGAACTAAGAGTTCACTGGTGTGATTCCTGTTCAGGGCACATGTTCTGGTTGTGGGCTCAATCCCCAGTAGGGGGCGTGCAGGAGGCAGCGGATTGATTATGTCTTTCTCTCTCATTGATGTTTCTATCCCTGTATCCTTCCTCTCTCTCTAAAAATCAGTAAGAAAAAATTAAATAAAATAAAAAATCTGATCGATGTTCTCTCTGATCTGTCCCAGAAAGTCTGACCAATAAGGTGCTATCTAACACATTCTTATGATGCCACGGGGTCCCAGGCACCTGCTGCTAGCGATGTTGGTGGCCTTCAGGCCCCTTAATTTGAGGCTGTTGGGCACCCTGACACTGGTAGGGAGAAATCTGAAATCCTGTGTGCAGGCAGAACTTGTTGGGGTGAACTGCCAGGAATGGGGTGCCTCCTTCCTTACTTTGTCTTTGCATGGAAAGCAGTGGTTTGGTCCTGATGAGGTCTCAGTGAAGCAATCATGGGAATTGTTACGTTTATTTTATTTATTTTTAAATATATATTTTATTGATTTTTTTTTTTTTATAGAGAGGAAGGGAGAGGGATAGAGAGCTAGAAACATCGATGAGAGAGAATCATTGATCAGTTGTCTCTTGCACACCCCCTACTGGGGATGTGCCCGCAACCAAGGTGCATGCCCTTGACCAGAATCGAACCTGGGACCTTTCAGTCCGCAGGCCAATGCTCTATCCACTGAGCCAAACCAGTTTCGGTGGGAATTGTTACTGTTTAAATGTGAAGTGTGGAAGAGTTGAATGGGCACCGAGTCTTTATATGTGAATTGAGGTGCACCTGCTGGATGCTGGGCTCTTCAGGTGGCATAAGGGTGAAGAAGGCAGAATTGGGTCTGGCTAGTGTGGCCCAATGGTTGAGTGTTGACCTAGGAACTAGGAAGTCATGGTTCGATTCCTGGTCAAGGGCACATGCCTGGATTGCGGGCTCAATCCCCAGTAGGGGGCATGTAGGGGCAGCCGATCCATGCTTCTCTCTCATCACTGACGTTTCTCTTTGAAATAAGAACAAAACGTATTTTTAAAAAATAGTGAGCCCTCTGGGGAAGATACACGCTACGAGGGAGGTGAGCTGGCTTGTCCACACCCGACACGGAGCTGGCCACAGAGCCAGGCTTCAGATTTTGAGGGATTGCTAAAGGGAGCTGTTATCTCGAAGGATCTGGGAGGCTAAACAGGGCTTTGTGGGCAGGAACGAAAGGGCTGCTCCCCGTGGCGTGAGAAGCTTATGACAGTTTCGAGGACATTCGGGCCCCAGATGGACGTCCAAGACCTCTGGTCATGGAAGGCAGCACATGCAAGATCCTTAGAATTAACTCTCTCCTATGTGCATACCTCCTGTTTGACTCCATTTCTTTTTTTAAAAAAAATGTTTTTATTGATGGGAATCGATCCATGACCTCTGGGTTCAAAGGTCGACACTCCACCACTGAACCACACCAGCCGGGCCCACTTGAATTTTGAGCCGAGGAAATGGGTTACCCATTCTTAGACTCTAAGATTTGCTTGTGTTTTAATTTTTAATATATTTTATTGATCTTTTACAGAGAGGAAGGGAGAGGGATAGAGAGTAGGAACATCGATGAGAGAGAAACATCGATCAGCTGCCTCCTGCACACCCCCCACCGGGGATGTGCCCGCAGCCAATGTACATGCCCTTGACCGGAATCGAACCTGGGACCCCTCAGTCCACAGGCTGATGCTCTATCCACCGAGCCAAACCGGTTTCGGCTTTGCTTGTGTTTTAGGGAAAAGAAAGATCAGTGTAGCCTGTAAGGGGGGGAATTTTATTGTTGCAAATCCAAAAAATGTCTCTGTTTTCTTGTGGCCCTTGAATGTAATGCCATCACATTTGTCTTGCAATAAGGGACTCTTGTCAGATTTGAAAATCTTCTTTATTACCCAGAAAAAATTCATTTTTATGGAAACTGTCCGCTGTGGTCGCCCCTGGAACAGCCTGCTTTGGAGAGAGAGGTCCGTGTTCCACCTCTCGCTGGGCTGTTGGTGTGCCTCCGCCCCCTGTCGCCCGCGGGCACTTTGTTCCCGGGCCCAGCAGCTGTTGCGAGACGCGGGGACAGTGTGCATTCTTAGCCCGCAGCTGCCAGGGGGGTTTCTAATCTGGTTCTGGCAGAAGACGGTGCCCAAGTGGGAGCCAAGTTAAAAGATGCTTGAAAAATAAACAGAATGACTTTGGATGCCACTTCGTATGCCGTCTGCCTCTCCCCTGAAGATGGAGGAAACCTGGTTAACCTGACCAGACCCCGAGCCCTCAGGGCAGGGCCGTGACTAACTGTCCAGCCGTCCAGGTCTGTGCCAGGAGGAGGTTATTGTTGCCACTGGTCCTAATTTAAAAATATATATTTTATTGATTTCAGAGAGAAAGGGAGAGAGAGAAACATCAGTGATGAGAGAGAATCCTGGATCGGCTGCCTCCTGCACGCCCCACACTGGGCATCGAGCCTGCAATCCGGGCACGTGCCCTTGACTGAGAACCGAACCGTGACATCTGAGCAGCGTGTACACACGATTTATTCACCCATTTTGCAGGCAGGCGGGTGTTTGTTGTGTACGCCAAGTGCGTCCTGATTTCGTTCACGTTCCCTGCGATACAAAAGGTTTTCAGAAAGGAGGTTTCTTTTCAAACTGAAGGCGAAAGCCCTCAGGCAGGTGCACCCAGGGAAAGGTGTTGGTCCTAGGAAAGAGGCCATTTCACTAAGACCGTGCCCTTGCGTCTCGAGTCATCAGTTTGCACCACGTTCTGTTTGATGCCCAAGGAGCTCCAGCCTTAGACCCCCTCCGCACGCGTGAGAGGCCACACCTGATCCCCGTGCCGTCTGTGCCCGTGCGAGCTGCACGTGTTCCCCGTTGAGGGTGCGCCCGTGCTGAGCCGCACGTGTCCCCAGTGGAGGGTGCACATGGCTGAGCTGCACATGTTCCCCGTGGAGCGTGGGCCTGTGCTGAGCCGCACGTGTTCCCCGTGGAGCGTGCACATGGCTGAGCTGCACGTGTTCCCCGTGGAGGCTGGGCCCGTGCTGAGCCGCACGTGTTCCCCGTGGAGCGTGCACATGGCTAAGCTGCACGTGGTTCCCGTGGAGCGTGGGCCTGGTTGAGCCGCACGTGTCCCCCGTGGAGGCTGGGCCCATGCTGCTGAGGGCAGTGATCCCCGTGGGGGTGTGTGGCCCCCAGTGTGCTATGATTGACCGCACGTGTATCCCGGGGGCGCGTGCCCCTGTGAGCAGTTACTGCAAACTGGTTTGTTTGATCGGCTGCACGTGGTCCCGGGGCGCGTGGCCCCGCGCCGGCGCTGAGCCGTGCTCTCTTGCAGACCTTCACGGCCTGGTGCAACTCGCACCTGCGGAAAGCCGGCACCCAGATCGAGAACATCGAGGAGGACTTCAGGAACGGCCTGAAGCTCATGCTGCTGCTGGAGGTCATCTCAGGTCTGTGGGCGCCCCGCCCCGCCCCGCGCAGCGCGTGCGCATGTGCGACTGCGCATGTGCGACTGCGCGCGTGCCTGCGTCCGCGTGCGTGCCTGCGTCCGCGTGCGTGCCTGCGTCCGCGTGCGTGCCTGCGTCCGCGTGCGTGCCTGCGTCCGCGTGCGTGCCTGCGTCCGCGTGTGCGTGCCTGCGTCCGCCTGCGTGCCTGCGTCCGCCTGCGTGCGTGCCTGCGTCCGCCTGCGTGCGTGCCTGCGTCCGCGTGCGTTCACCGGTACGCGTGCGTACGTCCTCGCGTGTGTGCGTCTGCGTGTGCATGACAGCAGGCGTGGCCCAGGTTGACGGAGGCTGCAGCGCACCTTCCCTCCTAACCCGCTGGACCAGAAGGCGGTGCTGGTGGGAAGGAAAGCCCTGGACGGGCAGGCGGCCGGGGTTTCTGTTCAAAAAGGGAGTGGGTTCTGTTCACAACTGACACGTTAGGGGAGTGTTCACATCGCCCACCTCGTGACAAAGTAGAAGAAAAAGTGACCTGTATATGGCGGCCCACCGTGCTGCCCTCTTCTCTCTCTTTTTAAACAAATATTTTCATCGATTACAGAGAGGGAGAGAGAGAGAGAAACATCAATGATCGGAGAGAATAATTGACCGGCTGCCTCCCCTGCACGCTCCCTACTGGGGATCAAGCCACAACCTGGGCCTGTGCCCTGAGTGGGAATCGAACCCTGACCTCCTGGTTCATAGGTCCATGATCAACCCCTGAGCCACACCTGCCGGGCTGAATGTTGGCTTTTTTTTTTTTTTTTTCAGTTTTCAGAGTTTTTTTTTTTTTATCAATATTTATTGTTCCTCATTTCTTCCCCCCTCCACCAGGTTTCCACCCCCATTGTCCTCATCCATAGGTGCACAGTTTATGTTCAGTCTCTTCCTCCCTCCCATATCCTTCCTTCCTCCCTCCCGACTCTACTACAATGGACAGCTATTATTATTCATCAGGTTTTTCAATCTCCTTTTTTTTAAAAAAATATATATTTTTTAATTGATTTTGTACAGAGAGGAAGGGAGAGAGATAGAGAGTCAGAAACTTCAATGAGAGAGAGTCATCCATCAACTGCCTCTTGCAAACCCCCTACTGAGGATGTGCCCGCAACCAAGGTACATGCCCTTGACCGGAATCGAACCCGGGACCTTTCAGTCCCCAAGCCGACGCTCTATCCACTGAGTCACACCGGTCCCGGCTTTTTTTTTTTTTTTTTTTTTTTAATTAATAAACTTTTACACTTCTAAGAATAAATTTTAAAATCTAATAATTTTAAACCTTGGTGTTTTTTTTCTGCCCTGGGAATTGAGAGCAAACTTGTTTATGTGTAAACTTGCCCTTAGGCTAGCAAAAGGTGTAGCCATTCAAGTGTAAATGGACATATTGTTTAAATATAGCTGCTGGTTGGAACTGGATTACCTGTTCTGGGTGGGAAAGGGCTTATCATTCCCTTTCTCCATTAAAATTAAGGTGTTAGCTTTAAAACCTCTTTTTGGCAAGAGACCTTAAACTTTCAAAACTTTAAATTTTTCAGATAGTAAATCAGTTACTTAGCATTTTCTCAAAATAATAATACGTCCACATGCCCAAGGATTTTTTTTTTTTTTTTTTGGATTGTTATTTTTTTTTTAATTTATTTTTTTATTTTTTATTTTGAAGGAATATTTAATATTAACATTGTGAGTTATTATCTTTTGCATATCCAAGTTACACATTTCAAACAAATCGTCATTTATATTTACAGTATACAGATGCAAAGCTTTAATTTCCCACTAAATCATCACTTTCTTAAAATGGTACATGTGATGTTATGAAATTAGCTATTAAGCATTCGAAATAGTGGAAAAGAGGTCCTTTCTTCAGTCTTTTTTTTTTTTAATATATATATATTTTTTTTTGATTTTTTTTTTTTTTGCCCGCCCTCCCTCCCTCCCTCACATCCCTTCCCTCCCCAGAGTTTTATGTCCATTGGTTGTACTTATGTGCATGTATAAAAGTCCTTCGGTTGATCTATTATCTCCCCCAGATCTTCCTCCCCTTCCCGCTGTAATTTGACAGTCTGCTTGTTGATATAATGTCTCTATATCTATCTTTTGGTTCATCAGTTTATAATGTTCTTTATTATCCACAAATGAGTGAGGTCATGTGGTGTTTTTCTTTCAATGACTGGCTTATTTCACTCAGCATGATGTTCTCCATTTCCATCCAGGTTGCTACAAATGATGAGAATTCCTTCTTTTTTATGGCAGCATAGTATTCCATTGTGTAGATGTACCAAAGTTTTTTGATCCAATCATCTGCTGATGGGCACCTAGGCTGTTTCCAAATTCTAGCTATTGTAGATTGTGCTGCTATGAACATAGGGGTACATATATCCTTTCTGATTGGTGTTTCTAGTTTCTTGGGATATATTACTGGGTCAAATGGGAGTTCCATTTTCAGTTTTTTGAGGAAACTCCACACTGTTCTCCACAGTGGTTGCACCAGTCTGCATTCCCACCAGCAGTGCACAAGAGTTCCCTTTTCTCCACAGCCTCGCCAACACATGTCGTTTGTTGATCTGTTGATGTTGGCCATTCTGACAGGTGTGAGATGGTACCGCATTGTTGTTTTGATTTGCATCTCTCGGATAATTAGTGACTTTGAGCATGTTTTCATGTGCCTTTTGGCCTTCCTTCTGTCTTCTTTTGGAAATATTCTATTTAGGTCCATTGCCCATTTTTTAATTGGATCCACATGCCCAAGGATTGAATGTTGGCTTTTTCGTTCTGCGTCGGGGGTGTCGCTTTCTCTGTCTACACTGACAGGTTTTCATCCGACAGGGGAAAGGCTGCCCAAACCCGACCGAGGAAAAATGCGCTTCCACAAAATCGCCAACGTCAACAAAGCCTTGGATTACATCGCCAGCAAAGGCGTGAAGCTGGTGTCCATTGGGGCGGAAGGTGAGCTGGGCAGCAATATATACATTTTACAGTATACAGCATTCTGAGTAGTGTGGTGAGTCTTGCTCTGTCCCACCCCATTCTGGGATGGGAATCATCCTTTTGTCCCTCATCTCCACGCTGTCGGTGCTCCCCCCCCTCCCCTGTCAGTCACCTAGCCCAGTGGTTCTCGGGTCCTTGGGTTCGAGTCACCCTTAGTCACGGCCCAGACGCTGGCAACTCAGATACACCAAAGGGAAAGTGCGTCCGCTACCTGAAAAGGGTGTGATGTGTAGGGGTCAGCACTCGGATTCAGGCATCCACTGGGTCCTTGGGATGTATCCCCCCTTTCCCCCCAGAGGAAAAAGGGCAGGAGTATATTTAGAACTTTAGCTCATCTCACCTTTAAACTTTGGAAGCTCATGCATTGCTTTCCGTGATTACGCATAGGTAAGCTTTGTGCTTGTTGTTAACTCAGAATTCGTTTAAACAGGAGACGTTTTGCCGAAACCGGTTTAGCTCAATGGATAGAGCGTCGGCTTGGGGACTGAAGGGGCCCAGGTTCGATTCCGGTCGAGGGCATGTACCTTGGTTGCGGGCATATCTGATCGATGACTCTCTCTCATCGATGTTTCTAACTCTCTCTCTCCCTTCCTCTCTGTACAAAATCAATAAAATATATTTAAAAAAAATAAAAAAATAAAAAATAAATAAACAGGAGACGTTTGGTTAACAGTTTTTAACCAGACACACCTCAACACCTATGGAAACGTAAGCTGTCCCTCCCATGTGTATTTTTCCAGTAGATCTGAAGCCATAACTTACAGGTACACTGCAGGGTGTTCCTGTAAGTTAAAATATATATTAAATATATTAAATATATATTTTAATATATTTAATATATATTAAAATATATATAAAATATTTTAATATATATTTTATTGATTTTTTCATAGAGAGGAAAGGAAAGGGATAGAGAGCTAGAAACATCGATGAAGAGAGAATCATCGATCAGCTACCTCCTGCACACCCCCCTACCGGGGATGTGCCCGCAACTAATGTACATGCCCTTGACCGGAATCGAACCAGGGACCCTTGAGTCTGCAGACTGACGCTCTATCCATTGAGCCAAACGGGGTTTCGGCTGGCGGTGTTATCTTTACACTTGTCTGTTGTTGGCTTTCCTTCCCTCTAAAGAAATCGTGGACGGCAACGTGAAGATGACTCTGGGCATGATCTGGACCATCATCCTCCGCTTCGCCATTCAGGACATTTCAGTTGAAGGTAAAGACATGGTTCAAGTCAAAGCACTTAGTAAGCGGCGCTTACACGTTAAAAGTTTGAATCTGGTGTTCTGAAATTCAACCGTCACCCATGTGATTGAAGGAAGGACCTTGGGACCCTTTGGGGTACGGGTGGACGCTCCAACCAGCTGAGCCACCCTGGCCAGGCTGCCCCGGAATTCTCTAAGGAGCCAGGTCCCTTTAACAGAATGGTAGGCCTCTCCCAAGAAATGGGTGTGAGATATGAATATGGCTGTTGGTGAGGGCAGTCTACGGTGTGGAGGTGGGGTAGGAGGTGGGGGTGGGGGAGTTAACTTGGTCAAAACTCAAATGGCTGAACTTGAAGCTGACTAATAAGAACCTTCGGTATAAAACCTCTAAGTAAGGGTGCACATTTGGGACAGGTGGCCTCTGAATTTCGTTCCCCTAAGAACATAAATCATACATGAGGTGGACGACAGGTGCATGGCGTCATACACTGCGCACGCTTAGACAGTTTTCACAGAAAGGCCAGAGTCCCCAGGGCCCGGAGTCTGGTTTTCCCTGTGTGACGTCATCATTCGTAGCCACACCGCCCCGTCCGCTTTGAGTTCCTAAGCGTCAGCAGGCACAGGCCCCCATCTCTGTCCTGGAGCCCAGACGCGCTGGCCCCTGGGAGGGAGCCCGCAGTTGGGCGAGTGACGTGGGGACACTCCTCTTGGCTGTCCTTCCAGAAACCTCTGCCAAGGAAGGCCTGCTGCTGTGGTGTCAGCGGAAAACCGCTCCTTACCGAAATGTCAACATCCAGAACTTCCACACCAGGTGAGCTCGGGGGGCCCCAGGCGGGGGTGCCGTGTGTGTCTGCACCCATGTTTGCGCCTCTTGCCGAGGGCATTCATGTTTGTAGCAGGACGATGGCTATAGGTTAAGGGTCTCCCAGGGAAACCGTGTGACTCGGGTGAGGGATGCTGGTAACACAGCTCTGTATGTGAGTGAGTGGCTTGTGGCGCCAGACGGGGCCTTCAGGAGTTGGGGGGTGAGGGGCCACCCTCCCGGGCCTGCACCCCACCTGGGAGATGGCACAGGATGGCTCCTCAGTGGGGAGGAGAGACCACAGCAGGTCTGAGATCCCGGGGCCCGGCCACACCTGGTCCTTCTGCTCCTGAGTCAGCTTCGTGTGCTGCAATTCAAGTGAAGTAGGAGCCCGGCTGTCATGGTTCAGTGGCTGAGCATCAACCTCTGAACCAGGAGATCATGGCTCGATTCCCCTGCAGGACACATGCCAGGTTGCAGGCTTGATCCCTAGTTGGGGGCATGCAGGAGGCAGCCGATCAATGGTTCTCTCTCATCATGGATGTTTCTCCCTCCTTCCCTCCCTCCCTTCCTCTCTGAAATAAGTAAAAGTATATTTAAAAAATTGCTTTATGATGAAAAGACAGAGGGTACTTGGGACCAAGAGTGGCCTTTGAGGAGTGTGAGGACCCTCGGAGGAACGTGTGTGCTAGGTGGGCATTTCATGGCTCAGTGGGCCATTTGGTCCTGAAGAGTCTGAAGGAAGAGGGCAGGAGGACAGGGACAGAGGCACCAGCTTTCTCCTGGTCCCTCCCGGTGCTCCCAGCACAGAACCAGCCCAGGAGGCAACAGGGGGTGGAGGGGCAGGCAAGACGGGCCCAGAGCTGAACATGGGAAGCGGGCACCCATGGGGTGGCAGTCCATGGGGTCTCCGGAAAGAAGACTGGCATTCGAGGAAGGGGCACAGGTCGCTGGGAGGGGAGGGAGCCGAGCTCTGGGGCCTTGGGTGCGATAAGTCAGACATTGCGCACTGGGGCCACTCGGCCTGAAGGTCCGGCCGTGCAGACCCTGCTGCCTTCTCCGCTCACATTGACTCGTGTCCTGTTCTTTTCCATGTGACGCAGCTGGAAGGATGGCCTGGGACTCTGCGCGCTCATCCACCGGCACAGGCCCGACCTCATCGACTACTCCAAGCTGAACAAGGTCGGCAAATTCAGTCCACACACAAAGAAGTTACAAAATGTGACCTGTGCCGGGGCAAAGAACCCGAGCCTGTCCGCCTTGTGGGGGACCGTTGCTCTGTGAGGTTTAGGGTTTAGGATGGGGCGCCCCCACTCCACGCCCAGCAGGGCCACTTCATACCCCGTGGCTGTGTCTGGGAAGTCGCCCCTCTGCATGTGGCCTCACCGGTGTGGCGTGCATGGTTGTTGGTGTCCTGGCTGGCATGCCCGTGCCAGCTGCCACCTGCTCCCCGCCCTCCTGAGACTGGGCCTACAGCGTTGTGATAGAAGGTCGCCTAAGGGAATTATCCACAAGAGTGCTCATTTTTTCAAAACGTCTATTTTATCCCTGAGCTTTTAAAATGTTTCTAACCTACAGACAGTGTCTACATTTTCCAATTAACCTTTTTTCTAAAAATTAATTTGCAAAATGAGCGGATTGTACCAGACAGATAGACCGAGCTCCGTTCGTCCATGACAGGTGCTCACCTGAGAGCAGGCTTCTGGTCCTCAGCCCTGTGCTTTCGCACATTTAAAACAAGGACGATGGGCTCATTCTCCGTGGGTACCTTCCAGACCCTGCCCAGGGGACATGCCTGCCCACGTCCCTCCCGCCCGCAGAGTCTCCGTGTCATGCATTGCATTGGGCATGGATTGTTTGGTTGTTTTTTTTTTAAATCATTTTCCTAAATGTTCAAAAACACATCTTTAAAAATGTGCACGTGCCGTCCCTCCTGCAGGATGACCCAGTAGGAAACATCAACCTGGCCATGGAGATCGCGGAGAAGCATCTGGACATCCCCAAAATGCTGGATGCGGAAGGTGAGAGGCCGTGTGACCCGCCAGGGCAGCCGCCATCGGGGGGGGGGGCAGCGTGGGCAGTGGCCACGCCCCGGGATCTGCATCAGGAGCCCTTAGGGTTCCTCAGTCAGTATTAGAGGATTTCACGTGAGGCTTGTTCACAGATTATTTTTTTAAATCCCACGTGTGAAAAGACAGCAAAACTACGGTAAAAGGATGCTTTGGTTTGCGATTTTCAAAGAAAAACGTCCTATTTTACTGTTTTTGTTTTTCTATTTTATTGATTTTTTTTTTTTTTTTTTTTTTTTTTTTTTACAGAAAAGAAGGGAGAGGGATAGAAACTTAGAAGCATCAATGTGAGAGAAACATTGATCAGCTGCCTCCTTCAGACCCCCTACTAGGGATGTGCCACAACCAAGGTACATGCCCTTGACCGGAATTGAACCTGAGACCCTTCAGTCCACAGGCCAATGCTCTATCCACCGAGCCAAACCGGTTAGGGCCTAGTTTAGTTTTTTAACAATGTAGATTTTCTTACCTTGTAGAGACAACTGTGGTAAAGAAATCTTCTTGTGCTTAAGACTCCCCAAGGAGCCGAAACCGGTTTGGCTCAATGGATAAAGCGTCGGCTTGGGGACTGAAGGGTCAGGGGTTCGATTCCGGTCAAGGGCATGTACCTTGGTTGCGGGCATATCCCCACTAGGGGGAGTGCAAGAGGCAGCTGATCGATGACTCTCTCTCATCGATGTTTCCAACTCTCTATCTCTCTTCCTTCCTCTCTGTGCAAAATCAATAAAATATATTTAAAAAAAAAAAAAAAAAAAAAAAAAAAAAAAAAAAAAAAAAAAAAAAAAAAAAAAAGACTCCCCAAGGAAAAAGACCTTCCCTCCTACTAGAAGGAATTGAATCAGTAGATTGTACCTCTGGAGTTTCCTCGTCCCACTTGTAATTAGCCCAAGTTCAGTGTTGCTTAGCTGGAAAGAAGGAAGGGCTTTGCGGTTCAGCATCCTTCACCCGGGAACGGTTTCAGATGCCTTTTGCGCCCTTTCTATGCGATGAACCGAGAGTCGTACCCACGGCACGCTGCTTAAAGCACAGATTCATTTATTCATTCATTTATTCATTCATTCATTCACCCCACTTCCTCATGACTCGTGCATCGCTCAGCACACGTACTGAGCATTTCTTGTGAGCGAGACCCTGGCTACCGAGGGGTGTGCTGAGATCTGTAGGCGGGGTTAGCGTTAAGGTTCCTGAACTCAAGGAGCCTGTGTTACCATGTTCATCGTGGATATTATTCCCTGATGGCCCATTGCTCCCACTATTTGCACTTTTGGGAAAGCAAAGAACTTGATTACAGTCAATATTCTATTTCTCTTCCTTTTTGGTGATTGCGTTACGGCTGCTGTTAACAGATGACCAGAATCGGGGTGGCTTAGCACAGCAGGACTGCCTTCGCTGACGGTTCTGTAGGCTCTAGTCAAAGCCAAGGGCCACGCTCCCCCCCAAGGAGAGGACCCACCTGGCCCAGGCCTCCCCCCAGCTGGGGTGGCATCGCCGCAGTCTCTGTCCCTCAGTGGCCATCTTCCCTCTGTGTCTGTCTCTTTCCTCTCTGTAAGGCAGGGGTGCGGAACCTTTTCCTGCCAAGACGACATTTGGATATTTCTAACATCATTCGTGGGCCATACAAAATGATCCACTTAAAAATTAGCCTGCCTGGGCGGGGGGCATATCTAGGGAGGGGTTTGGGATGGGAATGGGGGGATAAGGACAATTATGTGAGACCATAATCAATTAAAAAAAAAAATTAGCTGCCGTATGTAGTCAGACATTTCATTAACTCATCCTGCCGCCTTGGCAGGGCCAGACCAAATGATTTCTTGGGCCTTATGTGGCCCGCGGGCCAGATGTTCCCCACCCCCGCTGTAAGGACCTCAGCTTAATGGACATCTGCAAAGACCCTGCTTTCAAATAAGGTCACATTGCCAGGAACCAGGGGGGAGAGGGGGAGGACTACACATATCTTTTGAGGAGACGAAACATCGATCTTTCCATTCAGATTCCAGTTTTACCTATTTATTAATGTAACCATTCATCAAGCCCCTGAATTATAGGTATTAATTCTACTTCTGGTTTCTCCAAACTCTTTCGAGGGAGAAAGTCAATACAGCATCAGAGAAAGATTCTTTTCCCTCTCCTCCACCTCTCCTCTCTAAGTTTGCATTTGTGCGGCCTCTCCTTTGACCTGTCCATACGGTAACATCCACCCAGGTTTACTCACTGAATTAATAGCTAAGATACTGCCCGGCTGGTGTAGCTCAGTGGATTGAGCGTCATCCCATGGACCAAAGGATCCAGGGCTTGATTCCTCGTCAAGGGCACGTGCCCAGGTTGTGGGCTCCATCTTTGGTAGGGGGAGTGCAGGAGGTGACCGATCAATGATTCTCTTTCATCGGTGATGTTTCCATCTCTCTCCCTCTCCCTTCCTCTCTGAAATCAAAACAAATATATTAAAAACAAAACAAAAACTAAGGTACGAAAGGGAGGAAAAAAGTGTTTCCATTTGGTACATTCCTCTTCCAGTTCTCTCGTGCCTCCCTACTGTCCATAGTCAAGGGCAGCCAGGCCCACCGTCCTCTGGCCTGCTGTCAGTCTTCTTGTTCCTGAGTTTCTCCTCGGTCTCTGAGCCCTGGTCGGAGCACATCGCCATTCGGTGCATCCTTTGCAGCTACTGGGTTGCTAGCACGCTGTTCATCTCCTCCTCCCTGTGGTACACCCCGTCTCCCGTTACTTCTCTCATCTTTCTGAATGGTTTTGTGGAAATTCTCCAAAACGATATTCTTTTCTTGGTAGAGTCATTTCTCATGGGAATCTCCTGACTGCCAGGCATGTGGCGACTCTCTGAGGAGCCTGCCGCCCAGCCAAGCCCCCACGTTAGCCTTCATGTCTCTGCCACTGACCCTCGGACTTCACTTCTCTTATTCCTGCCCCTTGCATTGTCCTCTTGTGCCCTGGCCCCCTGCCCAGCTCACTCAGCCTGCCGGCTGCCATTGGCCGGACTTCCTGCTGTGTATTGGTCTCTGCCCCTCACGTGGGAATTTTCTGGGGGCTCATTGGAACTGTCACCTGCGATACAAGCTGCAGAAACGCCTCATCTTATCGTCTTCATGCTTTTATTGTTTTATTTTTTAAAAATGTGTTTTTATTGATGTCAGAGAGGAAGGAAGAGGGAGAGAGAGAGAGAGAGAGAAACATCAATGAAGAGAGAGAATCATAGATTGGCTGCCTCCTGCACGCCCCACACTGGGGATCAAGCCCACAACCCGGGCATGTGAACTGACCGGGAATTGAACCGAGACCTCCTGGTTCATAGATGGACGCTCAGCCACTGAGCCACGCTGGTGGGGTTGTCTTTCCACCACAAACTTCTCAAGCTTGGCCCCCGCTTTAGGTGTGTGGGTGTGCCTGTTCTGCCTGCAGGAGGGTCTCTGACCCCGGCCACCCCGGGCACAGCGAGGGAGTCTCGGGGCCGTCGCTATATGTGCCCTGTGGAGTCAGGCCGAAGGCAGGCTGTGGGCATGACGGCTCTGAGCCGGTGCCCTTCCCCTCGGCAATCCCTTCATTTCCGAGGGAGTTCTCAGACACGTTTGGGGGAGTGCCTTTACAGGGGCGACGTCTTTGATCTGAGCCTGTGTCCATGACGTGCGAGCGTGGGGTGCAGGGAAGGCCCCTGGCTCTGGCCCCAGAGGCTTTGGCCCCCAGAGGAGGCTGGGGGAGCCCGTGGCGGGGCACGTGGGGCAGTTAACCCTGTTCTCTCCACGCAGATGTGGTAGACACGGCCCGGCCCGACGAGCGTGCCCTAATGACTTACGTCTCCTGTTTCTATCACGCGTTTGCCGGTGCCCAGAAGGTGAGGACGGAGAGCCGGTCAGCGCCACCCTCACCTTCTGTGTCTTCATCTCTTCCCATTGTCGTTCTCTTTCCTCCCCCTCCTCTGAGGACGGAGGCCCATCCGGCCCCGACGTGGAAGTTGTGTCTTTTTTTTTTTTTTTTAGTGCCGTTTTCTTTGACACCTGCTTTCTGTCTGTGCACCGGCATGCCAGTCGTTCCTGGTTGTTTTCCGGAAGATTCCATCCTGTGACACAGCCCCTCGTCCTCTCTGTCGGTCCCCTCTGCAAACCCGGGGACCAGGTTGTTCTAAGCTTCATGTGAGGGAATCACCAGGAGTCTTTTCAACTTCATCTGTCCAGTGACTGATCTGTTTCTTTCTCTCGTTCTTTTTAAAATATGTTTTTATTGATTTCAGAGAGGAAGGGAGAGGAAGAGAGAGAGAGAAACATCAATGATGAGAGTCATTGATTGGCTGCCTCCTGCACACCCCACACGGGATGGAGCCCACAATCCAGGCATGTGCCCTGACCGGGAATCGAACCGAGACCTCCTGGTTCATGGGTCGTAGCTCGGCCACTGAGCCACGCCGGCCGGGCTGAGCTCAGTTTAAAGTTGAAAATCGAGTCAGCAAACCTGGCATCGCCGAGGTTCTGTTTCCTCTCTTCCTGGTGGTTAATTCAGCAGCTCATACAAAGGCTGGCGAGAGCCGTGGGGTGTGCCAGCCACGTACACCTTCTCTTCCATCGTGTTGTGGCCCGTGGGGATTTGTGTAACTGGCGTGGTGTGTGTGTGGAGGCATCACTCGGCATGCTTGTCCAGTGAATTTCATCCTCCAGCAGCAGGCGGGTCGCAGAGCAGAGCGGGCTCAGTTGTAGGGGTGTGGAGCGGGTGGTGGGGTGCAGAGATGGGCAGGGACTCTGTGCGGCTCCCAGCATGTCACAGGGAGACCCACATCCCTCCGAGCACAAGTGACGGAGGGCCTGACCTGGTCAAACCGTGTGGCAATGAGCGGCCACTCACTCTGATTCCGACCACAGCACACGGCGCCCACGTTAATGCTTTGTCTGCACGTTTATCTTTTAAAAATATATTTGTATTGATTTCAGAGAGGAAGAGCGAGGGAAAGAGAGATAGGAACATCAGTGATGAGAAGGAATCATGGATCGGCTGCCTCCTACACGCCCCACACTGAGGATCAAGCCCACAAACCCGGGCATGAGCGCTGACAGGATAGAACCATGACCTTCTGGTTCATACACAGGTGGATGCTCAACCACTGAGCCACACAGGCCAATCTGCCTTGTCTGCACTTTTAAAAGCCCGTCAAAGGTGAGGGAGGGAAAAGCTCTCAGTTTGGCCATTTAGGAAACGAAGTTTCAAATCATTCCGCTCCTGCGCCATCTCGGGGCTGTCCGAGGCTCGGGATGTCCCAGAGCCAGGGAACCTGTGGGTGTGACCACTTGTCCTTCTCTCATTCAACTTGGCTTCCACTCTTCGTGTGTGTGTGTGTGTGTGTGTGTGTGTGTGTGTGTGTGTGTGTTTTGTGCTGTTTTTCCCTCCCTCAGACATTGTCAACACCCCCAAACCGGACGAAAGGGCCATCATGACGTACGTGTCCTGCTTCTACCATGCTTTCGCGGGCGCGGAGCAGGTACCAGCACATGTCCTGGGGCCATGCTGCCCTCTGCATGCGTGTCCCTGCGTGTGTGCCTGTGTGCGTGTGTGTATGTGTGTGCCAACTTCACATCTGCCTTGGACTCTTTCCCAGTGTTTGTGATGCCCTAACATGGAAAGTTCCAGATTGTGAATGTTTTTTTTTTTTCTTGTTTTTTTTTAACAGCTTTCCCTTGAGGCCATTCCTAAAGTGGTTTTGTCTCTCTTTCCTTCTAAGATACCACTTTGATATCATTACTCCATTGTGGGAAACGTGTGTGTTTTAGGGAAAACAGGTGCCATGGACACTGAGCAGTAAACGGGACATACAACCCGGAGACCGCATGCCTCCCGGGGCCCTGGTTTATAGAAAAGGCCCTCGCTGCTCAGCGATGAGTCCTAGCACTTCCCAAGACTGATCCCATTTTAACTGAAATGGGCAAAGGATGTTAGTACTAGAATCTCAAAACAACAACAACAACAAAAAACCCCCACAACAGACAAAAACAACCCCTCACATTCCTTGAGACAAAAAACCCAAGGAATGGACATTGTGGTCAACGTCCCTTTTCTCTATGTTGACCTGTTCCTGTCTCTGGTCCCTTCACCTATGGCGTCTGAACGTGGCAAATATGATAGACAGGGATGGGCGAAGCCTGTGGTGCTGCCGCATCTCTAGGACCATCCCCAGCACGTGAGGGTAAGCGGAGACCAGCTTGTGTTAGGGGCCTGGAGGCCCGGATGGCACAATACTCTTTTTAAAAAAAAATATATGTTTTTTTAAAATATGTTTTAGAGAGTTTAGAAACATCCATGATGAGAGATCATTGATTGGCTGCCTCCTGCACCACCTCTCCCCCCCCCCCCCCCCCCCCGCCGCCTTGCTAGGGATCAAACCCACAAACAACCCAGGCATGTGCCCTAACAGGGAATTGAACCATGATCTCCTGGTTCATAGGTCGATGCTCAACCACTGAGCCACACTGGCCGGGCCCAAAGGCTAATGTTATTTAGGGGTTCTCACCCCCTTGGTCCCAAGGTCAGCACGTGAGGAGTGAGCTCAGACAGACATTCAGGGTATAGGTTTCCTCCACCCGTGTATTTCTGTTACTAACTTGCTTGATGTTTTACAAAGCGTGTGTTTACACTAAATGGTATCTCCCCGTTTCCCCTGCAGTATATGCAGCCTGCCCTCTAAGTCTGTGTGAAAACTGTCAAAAAGGTGTGAACCGACCCATGGCATCGAGCAGCCCTAACCCTCCGTCTGGCTCCACCCTAACCTGGAATCTGCGTGCTGTGTCCCACATGCCCCCTCCCCTCCCGCCTCCCTCCCTCCGACCCTCTCACGCTCCGTTCTGTGGGTGCCTGTCCCGTTGACCTATTGTGTTTTACAGGCCGAGACAGCGGCTAACAGGATATGTAAGGTTCTTGCTGTGAATCAAGAGAATGAAAGGCTGATGGAAGAATATGAGAGGCTAGCGAGTGAGGTAAAGGAAACGGGGACCCACCGCCCCGTCCGTACCCACCCGGAGGGTGAGGCCAGAGGGGGAGCACGGGTGGTCCATGTCGTTCTCTCTCTGCATTTTTTTTCATCTCAGACAGAATAAACGTAGGGAGGCGCAGTTGAACTCAGGGTGGTCCATCTGAAGCATTGTAATGATTGGCCCCGAGGTAGCCCTGATGGGCTTGACAGCCAGCCTGGAGCTCAGGGGCGGCGTGCATGTTTGTTTGTTTATTTTTAAATATATATTTTTATTGATTTCAGAGAGGAAGGAAGATGGAGAGAGAGATAGCAACATCAATGGTGAGAAGGAATCATTGGCCAGCTGCCTCCTGCACGCCCCATGCTTGGGACTGAGCTCACAACCCCAGGCATGGAACCATGACCTCGGGGTTCGTAGGTCGGCACTAACCACTGAGCAACGCCAGCCGGGCATCTGCTGCCATTTCTAAGTGGCTTTTGAGCAGCCCGTTCCTAAGACTTTGGTGGTGATTCAGAACAATGCACTCGCTCCTCAGGCATTCACTCCCATTTTCACTTTTATCCCCAGAAACTTGATATCAGATGGAAGTAGACTTTGACATGAATCCATCCCAGATTTACAATACGTTGGTCTAGCAACTGAATTCATTAGATTGGACCTTACACTGAACCCACTTTTCTTCGCTACATCCTCTCACCACATTTCACCATGTCGGGTGATTTTTTTTTTTGTCTTGTTTTGTTATTTTTTTAAAATTTTGTTTCATTTGAAAGCTCCATCCAGCGTTCGTCTGCTAGTGTCCGGTCCCGAGTTTCCTGTGACTGTCACTCACTTGTGAAACATGACTGGTGCTGACTCTGAGTTCTCACTGATGGGTGGTGACCGCTGGTGGCCGCCTGGGGGGAGGGAGGCCTTACACTTCTATCGTTATAGGAATATTATGTTCACCCACTCCCTTTTTAAAAAAAAAAAAATATTTTTTATTGATGATGGTAGTATAGTATTACAGATAGCTTCCATTTTACTCCCCTTTAACCCCCTCCCCCCAAGGTCTCCGTGCTGTCAGGGTCACTGTAAGCGGGGTGTTTTGCGGTGTCTGTAGCCGTGTGCGTGTGTTTTGGGCACAGCTCCTGGAGTGGATCCGCCGCACCATCCCCTGGCTGGAGAACCGGGCCCCCGAGAAGACCATGCAGGCCATGCAGAAGAAGCTGGAGGATTTCCGGGACTACCGCCGGAAGCACAAGCCCCCGAAGGTGCAGGAGAAGTGCCAGCTGGAGATCAACTTCAACACCCTGCAGACCAAGCTGCGCATTAGCAACCGGCCGGCCTTCATGCCCTCCGAGGGCAAGATGGTGTCGGTGAGTGCCGGGCCCTCCTCCCGTCTCGTCGTCTCAGTTAATGAACATGATGTCATTAAAAAAAATAATAAAATAATACACACACACATATACTAGAGGCCCGGTGCACAAAATTCGTGCATGGGCAGGTCCCTAGGTCTGGGTTGCGGGCTCGATCCCCAGTGTGGGGCGTGCAGGAGGCCCGGGTGTAACCGCCGGGCCTGCCTTGCCCTTGCCACCCCCTCCTGCCCCCCCCCAGGACATCGCCGGGGCCTGGCAGCGGCTGGAGCAGGCGGAGAAGGGCTACGAGGAGTGGCTGCTGAACGAGATCCGGAGGCTGGAGCGCGTGGAGCACCTGGCCGAGAAGTTCCGGCAGAAGGCGTCCACCCACGAGACCTGGGCCTACGGTGAGCGGCCTGGCCGGCCCGGGACCGAGCCTCAGGGGCAGCTGCCGACTCCGCCCCGAGCCCAGGATCTCTGCTCATCCCCTGACTTTCCAGGCGCCAAGGAGCTGCCGGGTGACGTGGGCCTGTTCTCACGCCTGTGCCAACCTTTGCAGGCAAAGAGCAGGTGTTGCTGCAGAAGGATTACGAGTCGGCGACGCTGACGGAGGTGCGGGCCCTGCTGCGGAAGCACGAGGCCTTCGAGAGCGACCTGGCGGCCCACCAGGACCGCGTGGAGCAGATCGCTGCCATTGCGCAGGAACTCAAGTGCGTGCGGCCGTGGACACCCCCTCCCGAGGGGCGTGGGGCGGGGGGAAGGGCTCCCCGGAGCCTTCCCAGGGAGGAGTCCGGCCCACCTTCCTTTCAGGGAGAGCGAAGCTGGAGGAATCTGGGGTGGGATGCGTCCTGTGACGCATGATCAAAAACCACGAAATACCTGCCAGTTCTATCAGGCCTTTTAAGAACATATATGTAATCTGTTTATTTGGACTTGTTTCTCCTGCCGTCGTCGTCGGGGACAGCTAACCTACCCTCTGTCTTCACTTCCACCAGCGAGCTGGACTACCACGACGCGGTGAACGTCAACGACCGGTGCCAGAAGATCTGTGACCAGTGGGACCGGCTGGGGACGCTCACGCAGAAGCGGAGGGAGGCCCTGGAGGTGAGATCTCCACGCCACCCGGGACCTGGAACCCAGGCTCTTCCCCGAGGCCCTGTCACTCACTGATTCTTGCTTTTCTGTGTTGTTATGCGTATGAAACAAAACAGACTGTCCAGTGCAAGCAGCCCGCGAAGAGAGGAGGAAAAGTAGGAATGAGAGGGAAAGGAGAAGTTGGGAGTTTTAGATTATATCTTATCCGCACGGCAGGGCACTGCACTTCTGAACTTAAAGAAAAAAACCAGGGGGCCCGGCTGGTGTGACTCAGTGGTTGAGCGTTGACCTATGAACCAGGAGGTCATGGTTTGATCCCCAGTCAGGGCACGAGCCCTGGTTGCGGGCTTGATCCTTAGTATGGTGTTTGCAGGGGGCGGCTGGTCAATGATTCTCTGTCGTCATTGATGTTTCTTCGGTATCTCTCCCTCTCTTTTCCTCTCTGAAATCAATGCAAATCTATTTTAAAAATAGAAAGTAAAAGAATAAGCTGTAGTCCTCCTTGCTCCACGAGGTGGGGACTTTCGGAAAGGCATCCTCTCCTAAGCTTCCCTGAATTTTCAGTTATGTAACGTGGTTAGAGAATCACTTCTGACTTACAAAGCAAGGCGTCTCGGTTTTCAAAAAGGTGATGTGGATTACTTAAGTACTTTCAAACCAGGCTATTTTGTTGTTGTTGTTTTTTATTTTTAAATATATTTTCATTGATTTCAGGGAGGGAGAGAGAAAGGGAGACAGAGAGAGAAACATATCAATGATTAAGAGAATCACTGATTGGCTGCCTCCCGCATGATTGCCTACTGGGGATCAAGCCTGCAACTCAGGCGTGTGCCCTGACCGGGAATCGAACCTGGGACCCTTCAATCCACGGGCCAAGGCTCTGTCCACTGAGCCAGACCAGCTAGGGCCAAACCAGGCTATTTTGGATGTCATCAAACCCTTCTTTGAGAAAACAGTGCAGAGATGGGGGCTCAGCCTGTTTATGGGAATGGAGGTTAATCCTGTGTACAGACATGCTAACGGCAGGAATGCTGTCGTTCCCAGAATGCCAGGGGACCGTGTGTGGCTCTGGAATGCATGTGCACATTTTCAGACTTTAAAAAAAATTCTTATTGAATCTGTGACCGCGCCTGCTTCTTCCTGTGCAATCTCCAGAGAACCGAGAAGTTGCTGGAGACGATTGACCAGCTGCACCTGGAGTTTGCCAAGAGAGCAGCCCCGTTCAACAACTGGATGGAGGGCGCCATGGAGGACCTGCAGGACATGTTCATCGTGCACAGCATCGAGGAGATCCAGGTAGCGGCCGGCGTCCCCCGCGGCAGCGTGAGCTTTGTCCCGAGGGGCTGCTGGGTCAGGCTGATGGGAAAGAGTTGGCCGGTGCCTTTTCCCCTTGGGCAGTGACGGGCATGCTTTGGGGAGTAGGGAGGATCTGCAGGGGTGAGGGCAGCAGTGCTGGCTCCTCTGTGGGGCATCAGAGGTCAACACCGGGTGTCAGAGGTCAATACCCGGTGTCAGAGGTCAATACCTGGTGTCAGAGGTCAACACCAGCCTCAGAAAGGGCAGCCAAGTTAAGCTCTGCCCTCGGGGGAGAGAGAGACCTACACAAAAGCTGGGGGTGGGAATGATGGAAGCCAATAAAAAAGGGAACATTGTCTTTGAAGACTTTGGATTTTTAGCCATTGATTAGTCACCGTGATATCTTTCTGAGTGTTTTTCCCATTTCAAAGAACTTGACCTTTATGCCCAAAATAGCTTTTCTGAAACGTTCAGATTTGTTTTCCCCCAGAGATCCCTGCAGTATAAGAAAGGCATTCATGGCCCTGGCCGGTGTGGCTCAGTGGCTAGAGCATCAGCCCGCAGACCGAAGGGTCTCAGGTTTGATTCCAGTCAAGGGACGTAGGCTCCAGTTGCAGGCTCGATCCCTGGTCACAGTCGGGGTGGGTGCAGGAGGCGACCAATCCATGTGTCTCGCACGCACATATCGATGTTTCTCTCTGTCTGTCTCTCCCGCTCCCTTCCAATCTCTCTAAAAATCAATGAAAAGTATCCTCGGGTGAGGATTAACAGAACAAAAAGGGCATTCATGCGTGTGCAGATGGGAACACTGTGGCATACGATCGGTTTTCCCACTTGTGTCTCTGGCCAGAGTCTGATCACGGCCCACGAGCAATTCAAGGCCACGCTGCCCGAGGCGGACGGCGAGCGGCAGTCCATCATGGCCATCCAGAACGAGGTGGAGAAGGTCATCCAGAGCTACAACATCCGGATCAGCTCCAGCAACCCCTACAGCACCGTCACCATGGACGAGCTGCGGAACAAGTGGGACAAGGTGGGTGGCGGGGCATGTGCGGGACCGGGGCCCGCAGGAGGCCGAGGCTGCGGGCGGACGTAAAACCAGGCAGAGAGAGTGACCGCCTCATTCTGCATCGTTTACCCCAAACGTCACCGACAAAATACGCTAAATTCTTAAACGCCGTTCAGCAGCTTCTGAGGCTTGTAAGGAAAGCAGCGGTGACATTCCTTAAGGAAAACCCGATACTAAGACCACAAGGGGAACTGTTTTAAGACCACAGCTCAAAAGTGGGTGCCGCCGGCTTGCCATTCACGAATTTTCAGAATACAGGATGAGCACGTTCCCCCATGTAAGAGGCTTTCAGTTCAGAAAATTGCTTAGGAAACGGTTTCAAATCCAGTGATGGTGAAAATAGGATTATTTGATCCTTTTTTTCTCATTCTTAAGAAAACTTTATTTTCGTGGCTAAAATCCAGCACTGTTTCCACCCAGCCCAGTGTCCCGGACACCCACACCCCCAGCCCAGTGTCCCGGATACCAACACCCCCAGCCCAGTGTCCCTGACACCCACACCCCCAGCCCAGTGTCCCTGACGCACACACCCCCAGCCCAGTGTCCCTGACGCACACACCCCCAGCCCAGTGTCCCTGACGCACACACCCCCAGCCCAGTGTCCCTGACGCACACACCCCCAGCCCAGTGTCCCTGACGCACACACCCCCAGCCCAGTGTCCCTGACACCCACACCCCCAGCCCAGTGTCCCTGACACCCACTCAGTCTTAAGCAGCCATAGGTGGCAGTCAAAGCTAGAACGAGCTCTCCCTCTCCTCTCCCCCTGACCCCCTTCCTCTCCTCTCCCCCTGACCCCCACTCCGCTCCTCTCCCCATGACCCCCACTCTGCTCCCTCTCCTCTCCCCCTGACCCCCACTCCGCCTCCCCCCTCACTTTGGGCCAGCACCTCATCTCTTGGTCGCTCCCATTGTACCCAAACTGGCCTCTAACCCCCGCTGCCCTCGGGCCCTGACAGGTGAAGCAGCTGGTGCCCATCCGAGACCAGTCCCTGCAGGAGGAGCTGGCCCGCCAGCACACCAACGAGCGCCTGCGCCGCCAGTTCGCCGCCCAGGCCAACGCCATCGGGCCCTGGATCCAGAACAAGATGGAGGTAGGGCGGTGCCCCCCCCCCCCCAGCTTTCTCCTGTGGTGGTGGGGGGGCAGGGCGGGGGCGGACCTGCTCACTGGCGCCCACTGTGCCCGTGCCCAGGAGATCGCCCGCAGCTCCATCCAGATCACGGGCGCGCTGGAGGACCAGATGAACCAGCTGAAGCAGTACGAGCACAACATCATCAACTACAAGAACAACATCGACAAGCTGGAGGGCGACCACCAGCTCATCCAGGAGGCCCTGGTCTTCGACAACAAGCACACCAACTACACCATGGAGGTGCCTGCCCCCCACCCCCCGCCCCCCGCCGTGCACCTCCCTGGCTGGGACCGGCTCACTCAGGGGTCTCACCCACGCTTGCTCTTTGGTTCCTGTTGAGTCCTGCAAATGCGGGAGGTGGAGATCTCTTAGTCTTTCCTCCATGTTTGGGAAAAGGCTTGTGACCCAGCCCGGCCAGTGTGGCTCAGTGGTTGAGCATCGACGTGGGAACCAGGTGGTCACAGTTAGATTCCCGGCCAGGGCACAGGCCCGGATGGCGGGCTCTATCTCCAGTCGAGGGCGTGCAGGAGGCGGCTGATAAACGATTCTCTCCCATCATTGACGTTTCTATCTCTCTCTCCCTCTCCCTTCCTCTGTGAGATCAGAAAAAAAACATATTAAAAAGAGAAAAGGCTGTGAGCCCCAACGGGCTGCACCATGGACAGCGGCAGCGTCACAGCTTCAGAGAGAGGGCATGGCACCCCGTTCCCCCAGCTGGCCAACCCCATCTCCCTGGGAGCCCGCGGGGTCATCCCGGGCCCTCCTTTCCTGTTACCGGGAAAGATATTTCTAGTGACAAAGGGACCGCATTGTATGTTTTACCTGCAGATGTCACTGCTAGAATCCTGCCCTTGCTTCTGAGCACGTCCCACTACAGACTCTTTTAAAAAAAATATATATATTTTATTGATTTTGTACAGAGAGAAAGGGAGAGAGATAGAGAGCCAGAAACATCGATAAGAGAGAGTCATCGATTAGCTGCCTCCTGCACACCCCCCACTGGTTATATGCCCGCAACCAAGGTCCATGCCCTTGACCGACATCGAACCCGGGACCCTTCAGTCCCCAAGCCGACACTCTATCCATTGAGCCAAACTGGTTTCGGCCTACTACAGACTCCTGCAGAAAGCGGGCGAGTGGGGAGAAGCAGTGCAGGGGGCGGGAGTCAGGCGGGGAGGCCAGGCTGAGGCCCCGGAAGCCCCGGAGCTGACGGCCCCTCTCTCCCGGCAGCACATCCGCGTGGGCTGGGAGCTGCTGCTGACCACCATCGCCAGGACCATCAACGAGGTGGAGACGCAGATCCTGACGCGGGACGCCAAGGGCATCACCCAGGAGCAGATGAACGAGTTCAGAGCCTCCTTCAACCACTTCGACCGGGTACCTCCCCCTCAAGCTCTCTCTTTTGTCACTCTTTCCCTCCCCCCTCCACACACACACTCACACACACACACACACACACACACTCACACACACACTCACAGTCACACGCACACTCACACACACACATACACTCACACACACACACACTCACACACACACTCACAGTCACACACACACTCACAGTCACACACACACACACACACATACACTCACACACACACACTCACACACACACTCAGTCACACACACACACACACTCACACACACACACTCACACACACAGACACACACACACACTCACACACACACTCACAGTCACACACACACACACACACACACACACACACACACACACACACTCGCTCCTTCTTTCCCATTGTGTAACGTCCCTGGGTTGGCGCTGGTCTTCCTGTGAGTCAGCGGTGACCTTGACAGTCCCCTCGGCCAGCTCAGGGTCCCCTGTCCTCCTGGACTCTGTTCCTCGGGCGGAGCAGAGTCGCCCCTCTGCCTCTGACTCCCGGCGTCTCTGTGTGTGTGTCTTTCGGCAGAGGAAGAATGGCCTGATGGACCACGAGGACTTCCGAGCCTGCCTGATCTCCATGGGCTACGACCTGGTAAGCGGACGCGGAGTTTTCCCCGAGGGGACGCTTTGCTGAACTTGGGGAATACGTTGCAGGAGGTGACTTTTCCGAAGGTCGCCTGCTACCATCCGAAAGCAATTTCACCGAACCAGAACCTGCATCTGCATTCGGTCATTGTTCAGATATTGAGCCTTCCTGGCGTTTGTGACAGCTTTATTGAGACACATTCTCTATACAGTTCGCCCGTTTAAAGTGTACGCTTCAGTGGCTCTCCGTATCCTGATGGTTTTTGAGTGCTTTTCCCGCTAACACGCCAGGAAGTACAAAGGGTTAGTAGTGAGTCCACTTAGAAAGCCCCGTGTTCCCTGGGGCTGCGGCAGGGCCATCCCCTCCCTCCCCTGGGAGCCACTGACGTGGGTGCCTGTGTGAGCCGCCCTGACTGCTCCGGGACCTTGAAAAGAAAAGCCTTGGGTGCCATGGTCCAGACGGCATGTCCCTCCTCTCAGGTGTCACCTGGGAAAGGGCCAGCTCTCTCCTGCAAGTCTTTTTTTTCTTTTTCTTTTAAAAAAAAATATATTTTATTGATTTTTTATAGAGAGAAAGGGAAAGGGATAGAGAGCTAGAAACATCGATGAGAGAGAATCATCCATCAGCTGCCTCCTGCACACCCCCTACTGGGGATGTGCCCGCAACCAAGGTCCATGCCCTTGACCGGAATCGAACCCGGGACCCTTCAGTCCGCAGGCCGACGCTCTGTCCACTGAGCCACACCGGTTTCGGCTGAAGTCTTACATTCAGGCCTGCAGGAGCGTGGTGGGTCTAGGGGGGAGGGAATTCTGACCATCGGGAGCCTCAGACGTGAAGCCACAGCCGCTGTGACAGTCACCGGGCGGAGGGGATGCGGGGACACTTACGTGTTCACCCCCAGAGGACCCGGGGGGCCGCAGGCGAGAGCCGCAGACTGGCCCTGTGCGTGGCTGCGTGCTCGAGGCCAGCGTGTCCTTGCCCCCTCGCTGCAGGGTGAAGCCGAGTTTGCCCGCATCATGACCCTGGTGGATCCTAACGGACAGGGCACCGTCACCTTCCAGTCCTTCATCGACTTCATGACCAGAGAGACGGCCGACACCGACACGGCAGAGCAGGTCATCGCCTCCTTCCGCATCCTGGCGTCCGACAAGGTCTGCGCAGCCAGATTCCTCCCGCTTCTACACTTTCCTCCTGAGAGCAGAAAGTGGACGCAGTGCGATAGCCGTGCCTGTGCCACATCGGCATTGTTCTCAGAAAGCAGCCGGTAGCCCAGCTGGGGTGGCCCTGTGGTTGAACATCAACCCATGAACCAAGAGGTCACCAGTTCGATTCCTGGCCAGGTCACAAGCCCAGATTGCGGGCTCCGCCCCCAGTGGGGGATGCGCAGGAGGCAGCTGATCAATGGTCCTCTCTCAGTGATGTTTCTTTCTCTCTATCCTTCTCGCTTCCTCTCTTTCTCAAATCATTAAAAACACTTAAAAAAAAAAAAAAAAAAAGGGAGAAAGAAAGAAACCAGCTAATCAGTGGTGTTCGCCCAGAACAGAAAAAACACATTCTGCTCTTGAAATTTGTGCGTGGGCCTCACAGTGAGTTTAATGCAAGGAACCAAGAGTGTGTACTTTGTAAGTTTTTTATTTATTTATTTTTTTTATGTGTGTTTTATTGGTTCAGCTAGCAAGCTTGAGGTCACAGGATTTATTCCTCCCCCTGTGGCTCCGTTTGAGAAATACTGGTAGCCACTCTCTCAGTGGGAGACCGACCGCCTGCAGGTGTGGTCTTTGGTGTAAGCTTGGTCTGCAGGTACCAGGCCCATTAGATGACCTGCCTTTAACCCTTTTTATTTATTATTATTATTATTTTTTTAAAATATATATTCTTACTGATTTCAGAGAGGAAGGGAGAGGGAGATAGAAACATCAATGATGACAGAGAATCATTGATCGGCCGCCTCCTGCACCCCCTCCTTCTGGGGATTAAGACCGCAACCCGGGCATGTGCCCTTGACTAGAATCGAACCCAGGACCCTCCAGTCCGCAGGCTGATTGATGCTCTAGACACTGAGCCAAACCAGTGAGGGCTGTATCCTTCTTTATTTTTTTTTTTAATCTTTTTATTTTTTAATATATTGAGTTTTTACAGAGAGGAAGAGAGAGGGATAGAGAGCTAGAAACATCGATGAGAGAGAATCATCCATCAGCTGCCTCTTGCACACCCCCCACCGGGGATGTGCCCGCAACCAAGGTACATGCCCTTGACCGGAATCGAACCCGGGACCTTTCAGTCCGCAGGCTGATGCTCTATCCACTGAGCCACACCAATGCGGGCTGGAGTCTTTTTTAAATGGTGTCTCAGCAGGAGCACAGCTACTGCAGGGTGTCCCAGCTCACCTGCTAACCCCTCTCTGTCTCTTGCAGCCCTACATCCTGGCGGAGGAGCTTCGGCGGGAGCTGCCCCCGGACCAGGCGCAGTACTGCCTGGGCCGCATGCCCGCCTACAAGGGCCCGGGCGCGGTGCCCGGCGCCCTGGACTACGCGGCCTTCTCCTCTGCCCTCTACGGGGAGAGCGACCTGTGAGCCCCACGCCGGCCGCCTGCCCGGGGCAGGGAGAGACCTGGAAGAGCTCGGCTAAGGGAAGGGAAGGGACGGGGCGAGGTTTAGTGTGCTTCATCAGTAGGTTTCTCTATTTCGGAATTGTTAGCTAAACGCAATGGAACATCAGGGGTTTTTTTTTGGTTTGTTTCTCTGCTCAAACAAAGCAAATTCCCTGAGTAGTATGAAATGAGGAGGATCTAGGGACGAAAGAAAAGTACAAAATGGGGAAATTCCCAAATACCCAAGATTCGAGGCCAGGGAGAAAAAAAATTGGTAAATGTTTGATATCTTAAAAAATATTCCTTGAGTAGGCTTACGTAATTACCGTGAGGGGAATGTATTCAGGATATTCTTGTCCTACCTTCTCATCCAAAGATTAGCAATGTTTTTTAAGTTACTATCGTTTCTTTAGCTGAACTTAATATTGAGAAACGGATCTTACATGGGATGGAACCAGATGACCCAAAATATCTTTAGAACTTAAAAACTTTTCAGTAGAGTTTATAGTCAGCTCGTCATCGTTTAGGACTACGCAGTCGAGGTAGTGGATTTCAATGCCTTATTTATCGTCCAAAGCAGGGACCTCAGGAATCACAGAAGCCGGTCTGCTTGCCAGAGAGGAAGGCGTAGTCACCAGGGAAAACGAATGTGTTAGGATTATGAATCGAGTCCAGGTTTCTGTGCGTTTCCTAGAGCTTGGTAGCACAGGTTTGGGAGAGAGGACTGTAGATAAGTGCTCTGTTTTTTGTCTTTAATAAACAGGTTTCCGTAGCAATAGTTTATCACAGGACATGGGTCAGAGAAGGGCACCCAGATCGCTCACCAGGTCGCACTTCTTTATGCCCTTGGCTTTCTGACCTGGTCAGCAGGGAAGGACTCATTCTTAGCAGCCGTAGAGGTAACGGCTTGCATCGCAGACCTTACATATTTGGGGGAATGCATGTGTGTAGTAGGAGCGACCAGACGTTCTTTGTCGGCACTCAGCGTGCGGTCACCACTGTGACTGGGTGCCGAGCCCTGGGTCTGGCTTTCTCCACACCTGATGCCCCCGCCACAGAGGACAGACACCCCACGCTCCCAGCATCCTCTGCTCTCCCGAATGTTCATCTGTTCCCATGTGTGGGCTGCCTTATGCTATAACTCCCCCCCCTCTGTTTTCCCACCCTGCGGACAGCTTGTAGAGAAGAAGGCAGGAATTCTGTTTACATCCGAGTCCTTAATGATCAGGAAAGGGACTATAAACAAACAAAAGCTGTTTGCAAACAGCAACTCAAGCGTTGCTAGAGGAGCAGCCACGTGCCTGTTACCCACCGTCTGCTTTCTCCGATTCTTGGTGGATTGCCACCAACAGCTGGAAACGTGATATTTTCCCATCATACCTGTTCGGCAACCTCATTCTTTGACTGCATTGGCCCACGTAGAACCCTTTCATTTAATCTGCTTCATTTTATTAAGTAGTTAGTAGACAGCAAGTTAGGAAACACCCGAGTCCCTGTGTGTAACGCCAAACACTTTGGGCGATACCTAGAGGAACTGACTCTTTACTTCCAGCAGGTGCTATATTCCAGCCATAAACATTAAGGAAAAACTGGGAAGTCGTTCTGCCTCTGAAGCCATGAGGGAAACTTGGGGTGTTTTAGGATGCGTGCAGGTGGCTCAGCTGCCTAAAATGTTCATTGCTTTACAGTATTCAGGCAAGAGACTAGATCAGTACTCTCTGCTAATACATGAAGAAAGGAGATAAACTCTGAAAAACACTTAATAAACATGTTTATACTCTCATCTTAGAAGTTATTTTTATTTCTGAAGCTGAATTATCAATTAAACTTAATTTATAAAAGAGAAAGAATCCATGCTTTTTTTTTTTTTCTCCCCCCAAATAGCTCGTTTCTTTGGTTAACCACAAACTTCCTCACTTAAAATTGCCATCATATTTAAAAACTCTTTTGGGTAACTATTTGCCAGCCATAAAGAGTTAGAAACTGGCCCAAGCTGGGTTTGCTCAGTAGTTAGAGCATCGGCATGTAGATTGAAGGTTCCTGGGTTCAATTCCGGTCAAGGGCACAAACCTGGGTTGCAGACTTGATAACTTCAGTAGGGCGTGCTGGAGGCAGCCAATCAACGATTCTCTCTCATCAGTGATGTTTCCATCACTCTCTCCTATTGGAAGCCGCCCATTGCCCTCACCAGCAGAGAGAGTGGACAAGGAACCCGGAAGGCTGGTCAACCTTGAGGCTCTGGTAAGGGTCAGAGCCATACACCCACTGTCTGGTGGAGACAAAGGGAGCTGAAGCAACGCCCACCTTTTAGTCTTAAGTAATCCTTGGTGATGGGCTATCATCGAGCTGTTACTGGAATTGCCTGCCCAAGGGTTATAACCTCAATAAAAGGGCCCCCAATTCCCAAATTAATATTTTCTTGTCTAGTCTCTTTCATTTGTGTGCGGCCTCCTCCAGGACCTGAACCCTGAACTGGAACCACGTAGGGCGTGGGGGGTATACACTGGCAGCCCAACGTGGGGTAGTCGCCTCTCCCCCTTGTTTCTTCTTCTCTGAAATTAAAAAAAAATAAAAAATTAAAAAAAAAGAATTAGAAACAGGGTAGGAAGTAAATTTGGGATGAGGAATTAAGGTTGATCTATTGGCCCTGGCCAGTTTGGCTGCAGACTGAAGGTTGCAGGTTAGATTCCATTCTGGTCAAGGACATGTATCGTGCAGGTTCAATCCCTGGCCCTGGTGAGGGCACACGCAGGAGGCAGCCAATCGATGTGTTTCTCACATCAGTGTTTCTCTCTTGTCTCTCCTCCTCCCTTCCACTCTCTACAAATCAATGGAAAAAGTATCCTTGGGTGAGAATTAGCAACAAAAACCCCAGTTATCTGAAGGTCTTATTTCCACACAGTGGGTTTGTGTGGGATGAGCTGAGTGAGGGTGAGGGTGAAGGTGAGGGTGGGAGTGGGCTAGCAGATTATCACCAAAATAAATTAACAGACTCTCCTACAGAGAGAGGGGAGGCTTTTTTGCTGTGTTCCCATCCACACTACAGATTACTAAAACCAAGTAGCCCAAAATGGGTGGCCTCAAACAACAATAACGTATTGTCTCACAGGTGTGGGAACTAGAAGTCCAAAACGAAGGTGTCACCACGGCCTTCCTCCCTCTGACATCTGCAGGGGAGATTCTCCAGTGTCTTCTCGCTTCTGATGTTTGCCGGCAATCCCCGGTTCCTTGGTTTGTAGGAACCAAGCAGCAACCCAATCTCTGCCTTTGCTGTCACTGTTATGTGGGCTCCATTATTGCACACAGTAGGACTCAATCAATGCTTTCTGTCTGTAAGTGACCTTCCACGCATCCCGCCCAGCACCAGTGGGTCCTAGCGCCTGGCCTTCCACTCAAGCCCCAGCTCTGAGCTGCACACAGTGGGGAGACCAGCCGTGAGGGGGGTCAGGAGTGCGGGGTCAGCATTGCGGGGCCAACAGCGTGGAGCCAGGGTCCGCTCCAACACAGGCCACGCGGCTGCACTTCCGGATCCCAGTGCGGAGGTGCGCAGGACGGGACTACATTTCCCAGAGATCCCTGGGGCGAGCCTCAGCCGATTGGTTGAGACCGACAGCCAATGCGGCCGCGCAGAGCTCGCACGGACCAATCACAGCCCCGGGGCGGGAGCTCCGCGTGGGAGATCGGCTGCGACATAAACACCGCCCCGGGGCGGCCGGTTCCCACGCACACGTTGCTGTCCCCGGTGCCACGTCCGCGGCTCCCCGGCCCCCGGCCCCGTGGCGCGCCCCGCGCTGGCCGGTGTCGCCCTCCGCCGTCCGCTGTGGAGACCGCCCTGCTGCGCCCCGCGCCCGAGACTGAGGAGCGGGCCCGGCGGCATGTCTCCCGCGCCGCTGGAGCGCGCGCCCGCGGGTAACGCTCGGCTCCGCCCGGTCGCGGGGCCGCCGGACGCGCGCTGGGGGCTCCGGGGCGCGGGGCTGCTTCACCCATGACGCCCCGTGGGATTCCCGTGGGGGACGGCGGCGCCCGTGGGCTTCGGAGCAGCCGCCAGGGCGCCCACGTGTCTCCCCGACCTCCCCGCCGGCACCCCTTCCCGCCCCGCTGGCACCCAGTCCATCCCCTCCGGCACCCCATCCTCTCTCCGGCTCCCTCCCGCACCCCGTGTCCATCTCCCCTCCAGCACCCCGTCCTTTCCCGCCACCAACCAGTCCTCCCCTCTGGCACCCCATCCTCTCTCCGGCTCCCGTCCTCCCCCGCTCGCACCCCGCTTTTTCCCCGCCGGCACCCTGTAGGCACCCCGTTTGTCCCCCTCCCTCCCCACCGGGTCCTCCCGGCCTGCACCGTCCTCCCCGCCCGTGCTCCCCCCGTGCGTGTGCGCGGTGTTCATCTTCCATTGCATTAGGCGTTGTCATAACGCAGTGGCAAAGTTCTTGGGCGGCATTTTTCTAACGTGTCGTGGAGCTAAGAGCACATCTTTTATATGCGCCCTGCTTACCCCCTGTGATGAATGGTTATAAAGGACTCTGCACCCTCTCTCCACAGGTCTTTTTCCCTCTTTCATTTTAAAAAAAATATATATATTTTATTGATTTTTTTGCCCCCCCCCCCTCCCCAGAGTTTTGTGTCCATTGGTTGTACTTATATGCATGTACACAAGTCCTTCGGTTGATCGATTATCTCCCCCAGATCTTCCTCCCCTTCCCACTATAATTTGACAGTCTGCCTGTTGCTTTACTGTATCTATCTCTGTCTCTTGGTTCATCAGTTTATAATGTTCTTTATCATCCACAAATGAGTGAGGTCATGTGGTGTTTCTCTTTCATTGATTGGCTTATTTCACTCAGCATGATGTTCTCCAATTCCATCCAGGTTGCTGCAAATGATGAGAATTCCTTCTTTTTTATGGCAGCATAGTATCCTCTTTCATTTTTTGATTGATTCTTTTTATTAATGAAGTTATTACATGTGTGCCCATTACCTCCCCTCCCCATTCTCATACATGCCCCCACCCCCCTGCTGTCTCTGCCCATTGGTTATGCTTATAGGCATGCATACAGTCTTTTGGTTGATCTCTCAACGGAATACCACGCTGCTGTAAAAAAGAAGGAACTCCTACCATTTGCAACAGCCTGGATGGAGCTGGAGAGCTTTATGCTAAGTGAAATAAGTCAGAGAGAAATATCACATGATCCCCTTTCATTTTTCATTTTTTTATATATTGATTTTTTTTTTACAGCGAGGGAGAGAGAGAGAGCGTTAGAAACATCGATCAGCTGCCTCCTGCAGCCCCCCAACCCCCACTAGGGATGTGCCCTCAACCAAGGTACATGCCCTTGACCGGAATCGAACCGAGGACCTTCCAGCCTGCAGGACGACGCTCTATCCACGGAGCCACGCCGGTTTTGGCACCTTTCATTTTTTTAAAGTCACACGTCCCCTTTCTTCAAAGCAGGCGTGAAGAGAACCCTGCGGGACGAGATCAAGGCCGTCCTGAGGGAGAGGATCATGGTCCTGGATGGCGGGATGGGGACCATGATCCAGCGGCACACGCTGAGCGAAGAGGACTTCCGAGGCCAGGAGTTTAAGGATCACGCCCTGCCGCTGAAAGGCAACAACGACATCCTGAGCATAACTCAGCCGGAAGTCATTTATCAGATCCATAAGGTAACCTGTCACCAGGCGCGGGCCCTCGCCAGCCTGCCCTCGGGGCGGAACACTGTGCTGGGTGCTCTGGAGAAAACAGACCCGTGACACAGCTCTCAAAACTGTGTGTGAACTTGTCTGAGGTCAAACTTCTGGGTCTAGTTATTTTCTTAGAATACATTTTTATTGGTTTCAGAAAGAGAAATAGAAACATCAATGATGAGAATCATTGATCAGTTGCCTCCTGCACGCCCCCTACTGGCGATGGAGCTTGCAACCAGGGCATGTGCTCTTGACTGGAATGGAACCCAGGACCCTTCTTCAGTCCCCAGGCAGATGCTCTATCCACTGGGCCAAGCTTTGTGTTTTATTTAAACCACTCGTCTTTCTGTGCAAGTCTCACATCTGTTTGTGTCTCTGGCCCTTAGTGCAGTGTCTTAGGCTTAGAGGCTGTTTTGGGACAGGGATTCTAAAACTCGGCCTTGACATTCCTATCTCGTTACAGGATTACTTGCTGGCTGGGGCTGACATCATTGAAACAAACACTTTCAGCAGCACTAGTGTCGCCCAAGCCGACTATGGTCTCGAGCACCTGGTGAGACATCCACTTTCCTTTGCAACGAAGGTGTTTGCGAGCGTTTGTCACATTGCTGGTTGCTAGTGAGACGAGCACCGGAAGCAAATGCCTAGTTGTCCGTAGTTTGCGCTCAGGGAAATGGTTTGACTCTCTTCCGCTTATGAACCTAGTAGCCCGTTCATTTCCATCTGGCTTCTTTCATGGGCAAGTAACAATCAAATCATTATACAGTGACTATCGATAAAGGGCTGACAGTGGCGAGCTGGGCCTGGAATGGAAGCCTGGCCTTCTGTGCCTAAAGCCTGTGCCTTTCCTGTTAGTATTTGAACTGCACCCAAGGGTGAACCCGAGGCGGGGCGGTGAAGGATTAAAAGAAACAGACGAGAGAATACAGTTGGGGCCAGGTGGATCACTGTGCCTGGATGAGGAAACAGGGACATGCCCTGTAAGCCGAAGCTTTATTTTATAGTCAGATCACACAAAGCAAAACAAGGACAAGACGTTTGCAATGTTCTGTCGAGTTTCAAATCTGCTTCTTTCCTCTTGTTGCCATTCTCTGAATTCTATCAAGCTTTCTTTAGACAGCGCTTGCTGCACCCCCACTCCCCATTCCCCACCACACCCCACAGCCTACTTCCCTTAGCTATCTAGGACTGCTGAGTCAAACTATAAGGCTCAGCTTACATACAACCACAGCTTTTTGGCTCTAATTGTGCTGGGAGGGCTTTGCCCTCCAAGCTGGGACTTGTATGTGGTTTTGTCACAAGTCAATCCGAGGCTTAATCCTGTCCAAACGCTGAAGCTGCTCTCCACACTATTCTTTTTTGAAAATCTTAAAACCTGTTGAGTGACACCGGCTTATTCTCTGCCATGCCAGAGGTCCAGAAATGGTCCTTCTGCTGCCTCACTCATGGCTTTGGGGGAAGAACCAAAAGCAGTTTCCAAAGATTCTGGCCTGTCAGGCTGGGGTCGCCAATGGGCCTTCTTGGCCAGGATTTCATTCAGACCTCAGATTAATTCACTCCCCATTTCCCTACTCTGAGCGACGTTGGGTTTTAGAAGGTCTTGCGTTTTTTGTTCTGCACGTGGAGAGAAAGGACAGGCTAACGCCATGGTCAGCAAACGGCGGCTCGCAAGCCATAGGCGGCTCTTTGGCCCCTTGAGTGTGGCTCTTCCATAAAACACCACGGCCTGGGCGAGTCTATTTGGAAGAAGTTTAAGTTTAAAAAAGTGGCTCTCCAAAGAAATGTCCATCGTTGTGCTGTTGATGTTTGGCTCTGTTGACTAATGAGTTTGCTGACCGCGGGGCTAACGTTGGCAGTTCCGTGCTAGGTCTACCGGATGAACAAGCGCTCTGCGGCCGTGGCCAGGAGAGCGGCCGAGGAGGTCACGCTCCAGACAGGTGAGGAGCGTTGCCCCCTTTCCACAAAGATGATCCCTGGGATGGTTTCCCTGGGCTGTAACCTGGTGATAGGAGAGGATTACTTACTGAAACACTGAAGCCAGGCATGTGAGCATGCAGAGTTCTTTGGATTGGCCTGAGGATTGTGTATGTGGCTGCCCCATATTTCATCATTTTTCCAGTAGGATCCAGGATAGCCCATAACCAAATTTTTTTTTTAAAAAAAATATGTTTTTTATTGATTTTTTTACAGAGAGGAAGGGAGAGGGATAGAGAGAAACATCGATGAGAGAGAAATATTGATCAGCTGCCTCCTGCACACTTGATGTTCCCGCAACCAAGGCACATGCCCTTGACCGGTATCGAACCTGGGACCTTCATCTGCAGGCTAATGCTCTATCCACCGAGCCAAACTGGTTTCGGCGTCCCATAACCAAATTTTGCAGTAAAATCTATGACCCATCCCTCTTAGTGGGAGGAAGACCATCCATAAGCCTCCTGTTCATTCAGGGGAGGTTGAATTTTATTGTCAAATGAAATAAGTGCAAAGATAGAGCTTTTGTGCTTTTTGGATTTCACAGTATTGGACAAAGGATGATAGTCCCGTATGCTAGGGAAATCTCACACCTGAAGCAAATTCAGAGGTTTCACACTTGCTTTTCTTCCCCAAAGGAATTAAGAGGTTTGTGGCAGGAGCGCTGGGTCCGACTAACAAGACGCTGTCTGTGTCCCCATCTGTGGAAAGACCAGACTTCAGGAACGTCAGTGAGTATCCGTCACATACACTCGCTGATCTCCAGCAAGGGCCGCTGTGTTTGGGTAAAATGGGACCAGTAATACTTCTGTCTCAGGGTTATTGAGACTTAATCCACATGAAGGGCTTACGGCACTTCCTGGAATATAGTATATAACCCAAAAGAAAGTTAACGGCTGTGTGTGTGTTTTGTTGTGGCTTTTTTGTTTTTTTAACTTGCTTTTGGAGTTGTGTTATTGATCAGCTATGGAAATAAGACCGATCAAAATAAAGCTTTAGAATGACAACCTGAGACATTATGGACACCCAGCCTTGGTCAATGAGAGAATAACCCATTGGACCTCCAGTTTATTTAGCACAAAGCAGTCCAAACTTTATAAACACATTAGCATTACAAAAATGATAAACTACCATATATAAGCATACTTGCATTGAGAATTTACAAGAACGTCTTAAGAAATCCAGGCGAACTTCTTAAGCAGGAGACTACTAAAAACCAACAATGGCACTTTCAGAGCTTCACAGTCATATGATGGATGGTGATGGGTTATGTGTAGGTGACAAGTTCAGACACATGATCTGTGCTTCCACACGCGGTCACAGGGTGGCTCCCTCTGATGCTCTCGGTCTCAGCGTGACGGTGAGGAGCTCCCTCTTCCCTTCTCCCGCGCTGTGGAAGGTGAAGGATGCGGACAGCAGCGTAATTAATTGACTCATGTCCTGCGTGTGATTTATTTTTTGCAGCTTTTGATGAGCTCGTTGAGGCATACAAAGAGCAGGCCCAAGGGCTGCTAGACGGTGGGGTCGATATCATACTTGTTGAAACTATTTTTGATACTGCCAATGCCAAGGTGAGTTAAGGGAGGGAAAGGGACAGAGTGTGTGTGTGTGGCGGGGGGGTGGGGGGGTAGTGAGGAGGGTAGTGAGGAGGGAAGAGCTGTGATGAACCCCTGATGTAGTGAGGAGACAATGATAGCTATTTTTTTAAAAAAATACTTTTATTGATTTCAGAGAGAAAGAGAGAGAGAGAGAGAGAGAGAGAAACAGAAACATCAATGATGAGAGAATCATTGATCAGTTGTCTCCTGTACGCCCCCTACTGGGGATTGAGCCTGCAACCCAGCATGTGCCCTTGACTTGAATCGAACCTGGACCCTTCAGTCCATAGGCTGACACTCTATCTACTGAGCCACACCAGCTAGGGCTGATTTAGCTTTATAATGGTATAAGAGAATTTTAATTTTGGATGGTTGGATTTAAAGAGTCTGGCTGTGTGTGTGTGTGTGTGTTTTGTGGGATTTTTTGTTTGTTTGTTTTTGGTTGGGAGAGCATTATATTTGCAAGGGCACTCCCCATTCCAAGGTAAGGACTTAAAAAGGGTTTCTTTTTATCCCTAGTACTTTACATTTCATCAAATGTTTAATTTCTAGCTCTCTATCCTTCTCCCTTCCTTCTGTAAAAAAGTCAATAAAATATACTTAAAAAAAAAAAAACAGCCTCCCCAGAAAAAGAGGCGCACCTGTGGGTGCAGCCAGCAGACCGCCCCCTGCAGGAGCAATGCAGAGGGGCCTCGCCAGCAGTCGGGTACCAGGTAGTGCCCTCCCCACTCCGGGGCTGTAGCGACAGGAGTGCTCGTCCCTGGGCATCTGGGTCTTCCGGGCAGACCGAGTCCCCGCTCATTTCACTACCGGGCGCCACGTGGGCTCCTGCTCCCATCTCTGTTGCTCTGGGTTGGGGATCCCTCCCCTTCTCAGCTGCCGCCGCACCTGGGTGTGGGTGCCAGCCCTTCCTCGCAGGCTCTGTGGCTTCCTCTGTAAATGCCTGGTTATCACGCTTCAGTTCAGCTCCCTTCCGGGGGTTGTTCAGGTTGGGGGGTTGTTCAGGCTGATGGCTCTGTGGTTGAGCTGTCGGTGCCGTGGGGCTGAGCAGGGGCGTGGAGCTCTCGCCACCTGTGTGGACACTGGAACCCGCTGACGTTCTCTCTCCCCGACAGGCAGCCTTGTTTGCACTCCAGGACCTTTTTGAAGAGACATATGCTCCCCGGCCCATCTTTGTAAGTCTAAAGTGCTGATTTTTTAAATTATTGTTAATATTGTCATTTAGGGGGTAGGGTTTTTTTTTTCTTCTTGCATAGAACTACTGATAGTATCTTTAGGAACCACTTACATGAAGTTTTCTGTTCACCTCCTTCCTACCACCACCTGGAGACAAAACGATTCTAGAAGCGGTTGCTGGAAGGCAAAGGGTCTGGCTGAATTGTCTTTGTAGGATCCTGAGGGAGGGGGATGGCCTGTCAAGTCCCCGCACTGAAGACAGCAGATTGCCAATTTATTAATCAATAGGCAGACCCACCCCAGAGTCCTAAGGTTCCTTGGAGAAAATAAAATAGAATCAAAACCAGGGCCGTGTCTCAGCAGGAGGCTCGAAAGGGAGACTGGATGTGTGCACTCTGACGCTGCTCTCTGCTCTCGTCATGGCTTCTGCCTCCCTTTTTCCGGCTTCCCTGGCTCCCCAGGCCCCCCCCCCCCCGCACTGGGCAGCTCTGCCCTGACCGTGGTAGAAAGTGTGCCTGTGAGTCCCACCATCCTCTTCCCGGTGGAGGAGCACGGGAGTCTGCGTGCTCCTCTCCTTCTGGCCTGTGGCTGAGCTCTCCATTCGCGTCTGTGCTGTCGACTGAATTTACTCTGTTAACTCAGATTTCAGGAACAATCGTCGATAAAAGTGGGCGGACGCTTTCTGGACAGACCGGGGAGGCGTTTGTCATCAGCGTGTCGCACGCAGACCCACTCTGGTGAGTCACCGTCCTTTCCCGCCGCCATCCCTTTGGGGGGCGCCTCCCCTCACAGCATCAGGTTGTGCCTGTTGGTTATTCCCCATCTACGGGACAACCAGGAGCAGTCTAGCTCGGAATAAGATGGGGATTTTAAAGCTCAGATTTTTATCTTTTAAAATTAACATGGCTTTTTCATTCTATGTTAACATATCTCTAAAAAAAAAAAAATCGTAATGGCTTAAATTACATACTGTGAGTGAATGAAAGCTCTCAGAATATATGTTTTTCCTACTGTGTCTTCTCCGTGAACATTCATTTCTTCTGTCCAGAAGTTGTGCTCACTCTGTCTCTCATTCTCTCTGTCTCTGTCTCTCTGTGAGTCTTTCTCTCTCCACTTCCCTCCTCTCTCCTGGCTTCTTGTTAGCCTTTAAGACTCATCTTGAGAGTCCTCTTTGGGGAACCTGCTTTCTCTTGCCAGCCCAGGCTGATGTTTCTCTCTACCCTCAAGATCCTGGCTGGTCTAATGATCAAACAGACATGAGACAGGTTAGCAAGAGAAATTGACCACATTTAATACATAGAAAAGGATGCTCCTGCTAACTTCCTCTTACCTTTACAGCATTGGGTTAAACTGCGCTCTGGGTGCAGCTGAAATGAGGCCTTTTATTGAGACAATCGGGAAATGCACCACAGCCTACGTCCTCTGCTATCCCAACGCAGGTGTGTGCTCACGGGGACTGCACGGGGGGAATCCAAATGCCCGGACATGCGTGGTAGGGTAACAGATCTTGATAGAAGAGCTTGTTTGATAGGTCTTGCTATGTAGTTGACACTCGGTAGGATTTTTCTAAATGTAGAGTATTTGGACCTAGACCACTGTTTTTCTTGAGATTTGAACGAACGGTTTGGCTCAGCCTGAAAGCTTCAGAATGGGACAGAACTTGGAGGAGGGCAGCCTCGTCCTGTCGCTGACCAGAGTCTTGTTTTGGGTGACAGTGTTTACCTCCATGTTGGGGGGACAGTGAGGAGTGCGGAGCGGGAGAAGGAGCCCGCTTCTCCTCCATCACTGCGTTCACAAAGAGCAGGCGGAGAGCCTGGCGTTTTATCACTGCTTTCCTTTCTAAAAGTTAGGACCTCTAGTTTACTGCATATAAAAATTACCGAGAGATTTTTGTAGATAATTGTCAAACCCACCCAGTGACATTTGGTAATTCATTTGGGTTAGCCAGATTTCCTGGTGACTGTTTTGTTGTTTAATATATATTTTTTTATTGATATCAGAGAGGGAGGAAGAGGGAGAGAGAGATAGAAACATCAATGATGAGAGAGAATCATTGACTGCCTCCTGCATGCGCACTATTGGGGATTGAGCCCACAACCCAGGCATGTACCCTTGACCAGAATTGAACCCGGGACCCTTCAGTCTGCAGGCTGATACTCTATCCACTGAGTGAAATCAGCCAGGACCCTGATGAATGTTTTTGAGCACTGCTTAGCTACTTAGGACTAAAAATCATTTCCCAGCATTTTTCCCCTCCTCCAAATGATACATTTTAACCCACAATAAGTTTTATTCCTCACCAGGAGCAAGGTAACTGGAAGAGGATAAGAGATAAAATAGGACATTGGGCCATTACATACTAAAGTCTTACTTGGGAGAAGTTATTTGAAAGCAGACTGGTTGTGTTTTGGGTTTTTAATGGCATGCCTAGCGCTCATTAGCTTCAAGGGCATAGTACTCCCCTCCTCAGCCCAGCAGCTGGGTTACGAATGCCTTTCCTTTGTGGGAAGGTGGCCGGGAGTAGGGGAATCTGTCCCACCCAGCAGTGATGCTTTTCTTTCAAATGGAAAAGAAATGGTGGATGTTTAGCTTCCTCTGTGACTTTCGTTTTTGGTGTGGTGTCTCTATTTACTGTGTTTAATATTAGGAATTATTTGTGTTTAATTATAATGCTCCATCTCATTTAAATATGAAATGTCCTAAGTCTTTAACCTAAAGCCTTTACAAATACAGTCATGGCTGCAATACCCTTTCTCAGGCCTTCCCAACACCTTCGGTGACTACGATGAAACTCCGAGCATGATGGCCGTGCACTTAAAGGTCAGGAGTCTTCTTTCACTTGGTTGTTAAGAGATAGAGAAATGACATTTTCGATTTAGAATATGTGCAAGATTTTTTCCCTAAATAAATTCCAGTGTCTGCACTGTAACGAATAAAAGCTTAGTTATTCCGATTTAAGATGGTGGCGGTGGAGGGAGCTACTGGCTGTCAGCCTCCTCCTCCCCAGGTGGTACTGGTGGCTGTTGGGAAATTCCCAGGAAGGCCCAACTGAAGCTCCTTGAACTTGACTCTCGTACAGCCCTCCCAAGACTCCTTACTGCCCTTGGTCACCCTGCCCCACCATTCTCCTTCCCTCCCGTATACCGCCTTGTCTGGGAACCTAGGTTACCCAATACCTAGGTCATGAGCCCATACTACCCACCACCTATCCTATGACTAATCTGGTCTTTTCCTCGTTCCTTGAATCTGTAGCTTCTGGCTCACTGACATTCTCACCAAAACGATTTCTGACTTAATTCTTAAAATTTTAATACCTTACGTAGGTGCTATCCTCAGTGTTCAGACTTCTCAGTTGCTTGACTTGCCCTCTTGTCCTGTACACTAGCCTGTGGCTACACCCCAGACCCACACTGACCTGTTGTATGCAGCCATTGCCACCTGGGCTTGTTGGAGGATTTGAAATGTGGCTATTGTGACTGAGGAACTGAATTTTAGTTCTTTAACATTTTTAATTAATTTAAGTTTAAAAACTTTGTGTTATTTGAAAACGCATGATCTAGTTCATGGTCACTCAGCGTACGTAGCATATGGGCAAAAAATCTTTATTATGACCAGATAAGCAAATAAACATTACATTTAAAATGGGATAAAGGATTTCACAGGATCTGGACTGTTTTCACGTAATACTGGGGCATTAAAAGCTCTTTTTCTAGAGCAGTGTTTCCCAAAGTGTGGTACGCGTACCCACAGGGGTACGGGAAGAGTTTGGTGGGGGTGCGCGTTGCACCGGAGATTGGTGGGGATATGCACTGCACCGTGCTTAGCTGCGCCTAATTCTACGTTCTCATGAGTACGGGGGGGTACTCAGCGTTACGAAAATTATAGAAAGGGGACACATATGTCAAAAGTTTGGGAAACACTGCTCTAGAGTTAAGTGTTTCTAGCTCTCTTTTTAACATAAAGTTGGTTATTCCGGAAATGTAGGGTTTTTTCTGCTGAGTGGGCAGTGGTGGGTTTAGGATTCAGATGAACTCCCTAGAGCTTTCTTTGCCTGAACGCAGGGCTTTGCTGTGGACGGCTTGGTCAATATCGTCGGTGGATGCTGTGGTACCACCCCGGATCACATCAGGTAACCTAACGGTCACCTCTAAATGTTTTTCCTTTCGGCGTGGCACGAACTGTGTTCATGTGCTGGGTCCTAACTCCCCGCCTCTCTCCCTGGGGCTGTGGTGGGACATAGGGGCTCTAAAGAGGTAACTAAGGCACTCAGCAGACCGGGCAGGTTCAGAAAAGCCAGGCTTAGCGGTTCATTTCCTGCTCGCCTGAGAAAACGAGAAGGTGTAATTGCTGCCACACATTGGGAACCAGGTATGCAATTACATGCATAATTGTGCCAAATAGACTCACTCTCATAGCCGGAGATTAGTTTAATTTTATTGGATCCTGAATTAACGGGTCTCGCGTTTTCTCTTTTAACCCAGGGAGATTGCGAAAGCCGTGAAAAACCATAAGCCCCGAGTCCCACCCGCCACCGTGTTTGAAGGGCACATGTTACTGTCCGGTGAGTGACCGAGCCATGGTGTGTATGCTTTCAGAAACGGTTCTCTTCTTGCTTCAGTGTGTTTGTAACAAGAAGAAAACTATTTAGATGGGATTTTTTAAAAGAATTTATGTGTAAGAATGAATTTTTTTTTTCTGATTTGAATTTCTTGTGCTGTCTCTAAATTGCTTTAAAAATAATCTTCAGTTCGATTTTAAAAGAATGACATCAAACAGACTCTTTTCAGTTGTTCTTTATAAATTGCATACTCGGGAAGGACGCACTTTGAAAATTGACCACTTCGCATTCATAACGGATCAGAGGTGCTTGCGCAAGATGCTTTCAGAGCCCTGATGCAGGACCTCCTTAGCAACTAAAGCTGTGCCTGCCGCCTGCAGGGCTTGACCTGGGATCCCCTGAGGCTGGCAAGGGTGGGGACCAGGCTGTCAAGGTCCTTATCAAACTAGGAAGAAATGGTCCCAGGGCTTGACCTGGGATCCCCTGAGGCTGGCAGGGGTGGGGACCAGGCTATCAAGGTCCTTATCAAACTAGGAAGAAATGGCCCCAGTTGGTGAACAAAGACTCATCTGTATTCGTTCTTTTCCTCCTTCCTATCTGTCTCTTCTTCAGCTTTGGCAACGACTCAAAAGCCATTTTATTAACCACAAAAGCTATGATTGTTGGTCTAACATTTTGTTTGCCTATGTATCTAGTCTCATTTTTACAGTAACACTATGGGACAGATACTTTTACTGACTTCGTTTTATAAGCTCAGGGGCTGTGAACAGTCACCCGAGTTGTTCACTGCGGCTGGGAAGGGCTCGAACCTGGGGCTGGCTGTCCCCAAAACCGTCTGAAACCCCTCAGTGTAACCCTTGAAACTGCAAATTTCTGACTCCCTCTCCTGACACAGTAAATATGAGTAGAGCAAAAACAGTTCAAGACCTTCGTTGTAGTGTTACTTCATACAGTGTGTGGCTTTTCCCTCAGTGTAATACGTCTGTGGTTATTACCCAATGTTGCCCCTAAATTGGCCTTTCTCATGGCGGATAGTTCCTCCTTGGCAAATAAAGAGGGCCAGAAGCCCCAAGGGGCCGTGCCCACGGCCAGCTCCTGAGTGTGGACCTGCCCAGGAGACCCTCCTGCCTCGCAGACCCTCCTGCCTCTGGGCTCTTCCCGGCCCGGGCAGCCTTGCTGGCTGCGTGCGGGTCCTTGGACTTGGATGGGAGAGACGGGGAGCCAGAGGGTCGGCTTCCAGCTGCTGTCTCCGTGCCCAGCTGCGGAGCTGCTGTCTGCGGACAGCGTGGAGCAGTCCTTGGGATCCCGCCAGCGTGGCTTTTGCCCCAGATTCTTGGTTACACAGGGAAATGCTGGCATTTTTTTCTTGTTTGCCAGAGCTGGTATGATTCAGCTCTTTAGAGGAATTGGCAGTTTAAAGCCCCGAAGTATTTCTTACTTCCATGTCTGGCTGTAGATGTAGCTGCAACATAGTATGTGTAATTTCCTCGGAGACATTTGTGTTCCGCCTGTCTCATGTCATCATGTGCATTTTCAGGAATTTCTCAAAGTGCTTCTCCTTTTCAAGGTCTGGAGCCCTTCAGGATCGGACCCTACACCAACTTCGTGAACATCGGAGAGCGCTGTAACGTGGCGGGATCCCGCAACTTTGCCAAACTCATCATGGCAGGAAACTACGAAGTGAGCATCTCAACGCCCCTCTGAGGCGTCTGCCATGTTCGTGGCTGGACAGCAAGTAAAGGAACAGCTTTGATGGCGTTTGAGCGGTTATTAGCCGAGCTGCTGGGACGTGTGAGAGGAACTGGGACGTGTTTGCTGGGCTGGGCTGGCCTCGAAAAATCCAAGCTGCTCTTGTTGTTTGTCAGAAAGTGCCGCTCTTGGGTCATGAAGTGGATGAGATGGGAGAGACATGGTTCTAGCTATTGCTATTCATTGGGAAATAAGCTTAAAATTTGGTGAATGCTCTTTATTTTTGTTTCTCACAAATCCTTGTGGCGAATGGAAAGCCAAGAAAATCTGGTCCCCATGAGCACGTCAGGCAGTGACTAAGGTGGTATTGATTCTGTTAGCTGCAGTCTGAAATACACACGCAAACACAAAGAAAGAACAGGCCTGCCTTGGGACGGTCACGTGATCCCTTAGCCAGAGTGCTTTAAAGCTGGTCCCTCTGCGGATGAGCAAAATGCAATCCAACCAGAAACAGCTGGATGGACTGTTTTTCTTATGCAAATGTGAAGTTTACAGTGGAGTCTGGGCTTCAGTGATGAGTTACCATCAAACTTCTCTCACTTCAACTTCTAGGTTTTGCAACTTCTAGGAAATAGATCTTCCAGGAACCACTACCAAAGTAGACTTTGTTTGAATCATAAAGGGCCCATTTACCATCCTCTCCAGATCTATTGCTTGCTCCTCCAGGGCCTCCCCCCTGTGACCTGGATACCTGGCGCCTGACAGTTCCCCTCAACCCTCTTCCCTTCCTTTCACTACCGTCGAGGCCACGTGGGCCTCTGTCATGGTTCTCCCCGTTCAGAAGCTCCCATGGGTGGCCTTTTGTATCCGGGACAGAATCCAAACTCTGCAGGTTGTCATTCAGCGTCTCCACTTAGGCCCAAACTGCCTTCCCTTCCGGGGTGTCCCATAGGCTTGTTCAGCTGTGCTTCCTTCCGAATCCTCATGACCTTCGTAGTGTGCAGGGTCTTTAGTTGGCAATGTTTCTATTTATCTATTTGTTAGTTCTGGTGACCATTCTGCGTCATATGAGTTCAGGTCACAGCCCAACTCCAGGCCGAGTTTAGATTCTTTATGGCAGGAAAGTGGCCTCAGGGGATTCTGGGTAGTGACAGGAGGCGATGAGAGGGAGTTGAAGGTTAATCTCCCGTGACTGATGGGAGGACAGCAGGCCTAGAGTCAGGGAGGCTGGCCGGTGGGTGGAGCGTAACTCCGAAGGACTGTTGGGGATGGCGAGGGATTCCTTATCCTCTCGTGACTCCCCTGTCCTCATGCTGCTTCCTCCTGCATTCTCTCCTCAGGCAGCGCTGACTGTGGCCAAAGGGCAGGTGGAGATGGGGGCCCAGGTGCTGGACATCAACATGGACGACGGCATGCTGGACGGTCCGAGCGCAATGACCCGATTTTGCAGACTCATTGCTTCCGAGCCTGACATTGCCAAGGTAGTGCACCATGTTTGTTCGCCAAGGGAATGTGCGTGTCTTGCTCTGTCATTCCGTTTCGTCATTTGTCCCTTCGATCTGTCATCACATACACTGGTTTTCTGTTTTTCCACATCAAAAACCCCGAGGCTTCTGTCAATTTTCTCGCTCAATGTTAGCTCGTGGTAAAAGCCAGGCTTCTGAGAGAGATGCGACTCCAGCTTGGCTGTTTTCAACGCTTCTGGAATCGGTTGAAAGAATTGTTTGTTTCCTCTGATGTCTGGATAAACGGAAAACCCACTTTCCATGTCTCTGAAGAATATACTAACCCTTCCTACAGAATCATTCATTCCATTCCTATTGATGATAATAACAAGGAGGCAATTTGTAGTCTCCGCTCTGGTGTGCTACCTGTGCTTTGAGGAGTCCAGAAAAAGAAAATTACTTTGACATTCCAAAAGACAAAAGGCTCTATTAAGGAGAAAATTGACCCTTGTCAGGGACATGACTACTACCATAAACTGCTTTTAGTTAAAAACTTTTCATTTCAGACCATCCTTTGTGGCTACTTTAGGTCTCTGAGTTGGTAAGGCTGCCATGCAGGCCTCCCCTGAGCCTGTCAGGCTTAGTATGTGGCCCCGTTTTGTCCCCAGTCTGCCTTGTGAATTGTAAAGATACAAGTGTCCTGTTGACTGAAGGACCCCATGTAACTTAAGGCATTTTTAATGACTTAGTGTTCTGAGGGCTCCGGTAAATTTTTCCTGAATCTTTCCTGGTTTTGCCCTTCTGTTATCAGTGGGGTGCCCCCTGAGTGCCCACCTGTTATGGGTAGAAATGGAGTTCTTGGGGTGCCGCTGGGAAAGAATTTCCTGAGGCCTCTTGGAGGATGGGATTTTGTGGAAAGCTTTCTTGATGGTGTAAAATTAAGGGGGTTCCCCAAGATCCCATTTCTCTCCATCACCCCGTGGAAGGAGTACAATCTTCCACTCCGCAGAGTTTCTGCTCCATGTCAAAAGTCCACATCTGGCTAGCTCCCGCCCACTGCAATGGGGGGTCTGCATGTGAGACGGGAACTACTTCAAGTATTTGGGCCTTTAAGAACAGGTGCACGGCAGTCCTGTCTCTGGTCGCTCTGTCCTTCCTTCATTGTTTCCCCAAAGAAGGAAGGGGCTGGCTGGGAGTCCTGGAAGGGAGTGTGTGGCGACTTGTCTCTGTGATTTCCTGCCCTGTGACCTCAGGTGCCCCTGTGCATTGACTCTTCCAACTTCGCGGTGATCGAGGCCGGCCTTAAGTGCTGCCAGGGCAAATGCATCGTCAACAGCATCAGCCTGAAGGCCGGGGAGGCTGACTTCCTGGAGAAGGCCAGGCTGGTCAAGAAGTTTGGCGCCGCCGTGGTCGTCATGGCCTTTGACGAAGAGGGACAGGTGAGCGATTCCTTTTGTCCCAGCTCCATTGTGTCACCCAGGCTGGACAGAGCAGTGGTGAGAGCCGCGTCCAAACAGCCGTGTGTGTGAGTGTGTGTGTGTGTGTGTGTGTGTGTACATAATACCATGTATCCACACACACGTATGCATACAACACACTTGTATCTGTATACATGAACATTTGATATACAACAAAGTGTGTGAACTTTCATCAGCTGAGAAAGGAATTATTCGGTAAGGGCAATTGGAAAAACTGGCTATGGGTTTGGAAGAACATAACGTCAGAGCCCCATTTCCCACCATATACTAAATAAAGTCCATGCCAGTTGAAGATCTAAATATAAAAAAACAAAATTCTAAAGGATGTATGGGAAAATACTCATCCAAACTCAGGAAGGCAGAAAGAAAATGGGGAGAGCTGTCTGTAAAAATGTACACTTTGTGTGGCGAAAGTCACGGCACAGTTTGCAACGTGAGTAATAGCAGTGGGTTAATGTCCCCAATATATAAAAGAGTTTCTATAAATCATAAAATAAAACCCCCCAGTCAACCTAATTGAATAATGAATAGCTTTGGCGGTTAGCTACAGTGTTTAGTTCAGTTAGCTACAGTGTTGTGGGTTCGATCTCCAGTTTCCTGGCTCCTTGGATCTCCCATGTCCACGGTGCTCTGACGTCTCTGGCGATGAGCCATCCTTTATGTTGAGCGCTCAGCCAACCCTCTCTGTAGGCAGTCCCCTTGAATGGTGTTATCTCTTTGGCGCGCATATTATGCAGATATTAGATGTTTTGCCTATTTTTTAATTTATCCTCCTATTTTCCAATTCTGGCATTTGCTCTGCTCACCTTGTGTGTGTAAGGCAGAGCCAGTGGGGTTTGCCTTGGGCTGAGGGCTGTGAAAGGAGGAGGAGGACTCCGGGGTGATTTCAGGGATCTTCCCAGGGCAGTTGCCAGGAGGAAGGCGGAAAAGCAGGGGCTGGAGGTAAGGATGTTTCTGAGCAGGTGTTTCTGAGTTTCCTGGGCAAAACTCTGGCTCGAAGACAGGGTTCCCTTCCCGGGGAATTACCTGTGAGCAGATGGTGCTTAGACCGCGGCGATGAGCTCATTGGCTGCAGTGGAGAGGCCCCGGGTGGGACCCGGGAGGAAGTCGCTCCGAGGCCGGAGAGAGGAGGAGGCCCGTCATGGGGGTTGGGAGGAGCAGCCTGTTTGGCAGGAGGGGGACCAGAAGGGAGGCTTCACTTGGCTTCTCCATGAAGAACAAGCTTCCAGAAGGGTTCGGGGAGCTATTTTAAAGAGCTGTGGGCAGATTTAGTGGATGAGACCGAGAATTTACCACTAGGCTTAGCAAGTGGGGAGTGAAGGCTCTTGCTTGCTGTTCTGTTTCCAAGGAGATGAAAGTCTAATGGGAGGGGGTTGAGGGAAGGATGGGAGAATTGGAGCCTGTAGGTTGAGGAGTTTTGCTGTAAGGGGAAGAGGAAATAGGATGGATACCAGAGAGGGACATGAGGTTGAGAGGGTGTGTGTGTGTGTGTGTGTGTGTGTGTGTGTGTGTAGACAGATGTGTGCCAAGATGGTTTGGTAAGCTGATGGGACTGATCGGATAGACAAAGGGGGCATTTGCTAGGTCCCTGCCCTTGTGAGTCGAGGGTTGTGTACGCGTGGAGAGGAGACAGGTTGCTCGCAGTCTGGAGGGAAGGCAGGGAGGCGGCAGCCAGGGTGTGAGAGCACAGATGGCAGGCGGCAGGGAGCGGGTCGTCTGGCTGGTACCTCCTCGGCGCCGCAGGAAGCGAGGTCGCGCTGAAGGAGAGTGGAATGCCGAGTGCTCCCTAAGAGGAGCTGCCTGCTTAACTAAGTGTAAAGCAGAAACTCTCCCCCGGGGAACCCCAGGGAACCCAGGGAACGGTGCCTGTGCTTTTAAAAACACGCACACCCCTGGCTCCATTTGGTATGGAGACCGGGCTTCAGTAATTCTAACACCTTGGAAGTGAGTCTCCCGTAAACTCTGGTTGAACGAAACCCACCAGCAGCTGATCTCACCGAGTCCTCATAGCCACCAGCTGGGGTAGCTGTTGTCCTGTTTACCGTGGCTCAAGGTCAAGTGTCCCAGAGGAGACTGGGGCAGGTTTCCACGTCTGGGTGATCCCGTGCTTTGTCAGCCCGGCTGGCGCTGCATCGGGTCTGAAAACTAGCTTTCCCCCGTAGATGGCATGTGCCCACAAGTAAGAAGGTAGGGAAACATGCTAATTTGCCCATCATGCCTCCGATTTTAGACATTTATGCTCATTCTAGAATCGTGGTTTTGAAAGTTAAAAAAGACCAAAGCAAAACCATTTTCTAGTTTATGGAGAAATAAAAGCCCATTGGGATATTGATTAAAACTTAATTAATCCTAACCTATAAAATACTGAAGAATTGGTGTCTTGCCACTATTCAGATTTGTAATTCAGGAACTGTATATCTTTCCAATTACTAATCAATAAGGTTTATAATTTTCCTTAAATAGGAAAGCTCAAGATCCCAGGTATTTTGGATTGTTTTGTAGTTGTGACCGGCTTGTTTCCTTTCAAATATATTTTCCTTCAGCAGTGGTTTTCGTAGATTTTTATTTCATAATCAGCCTTTTTATTGGACTTAGATAAACTGATACTGTTTTCCAGCTGAACATGTTGGGATGTCCTAGGGCAGTGGTCGGCAAACTACGTCTCGAGAGCCGCAGTTTACCACTCTGTTGACTAATGAGTTTGCTGACCACTGTCCTAGGGTGCGAACCAGAGTATTATAAACAGTCCCAGGAAACTGGAGACAAAGTTCTCAGTTTTCCCTTTGTTTTGACTTTGCTGAAGGCAACTGACCTGAGCCTGGGAGTTGATTCTCACATCTCCTCCGGCCCTCTCTGAACTCCCCCAAAGCCTGACATTGTGTAGTGGCTACAGGGCGGTCACCGCTCCTGGCTAAGATGACATGGCTGAGTGTTCCTATTCCTGGGCTTTCCTTATCAGATGGAGTCTATTTTAAATTCTTCGTGCGTAAGAAGAAGACTTATCCAGCTTTCCCTCGGAACTGGCGGTTTATGGCCGGGACATGCAGAACACGAGCTTCTCTCCGTGCCCAGACCCCCGGCCAGGGTGTCCGTTGTCTCACAGGAGTCTCAGCAGACAGGCAGTCCCTCCTCGGAGGTCGTTTGAGGGCTATTTCGCGGCTGCTTGGCACTTTCTGTTTCAATGACAACCTCTCGCTCCTTTTTCCAGGCGACAGAAACAGACACGAAAATCCAAGTGTGCACCCGGGCCTACCACCTCCTTGTGGGAAAACTGGGCTTTAACCCAAATGACATCATATTTGACCCTAACATCCTCACCATCGGGACCGGGATGGAGGAACACAGCCTGTACGCTGTTAATTTTATCAATGCGACCAAAGCCATTAAAGTGAGTCTGGGTGGCTTCTCTTATGCACAGGACATTGCCCACGCGGCTCCAGTGAGTCGTTTGAACGTCATGAATATGCATTTATTGGCTGGGAATGTCGGCATTCTTGCTCTTAGGTAGTAAATTGGTTTTCTGAAATTTAGGGCCCTTTATTACTTTTCTTTTATGTTATTCTGAACTGAAGTGTAACACATACTGCAGACTATATAAAAATAGGGTATAATAATGAATTCTAAATCACGTAATAGCTCTCATTCAGGTCCTGAGTAGAACAAGCAAGGCTTTTCAGTGTTTCCTGATTCAGTGATTGTGGTGACCGGTAGATCATAATCACCACAAATAATGAGAATCCACTGTCTAAAGAGCTGTCCTGTTTCTGAGCTTAATAGAAATAGAATCTAAGATTCTTACGCCTTTTTCCTCACCCAGCTTCCTTTTAAAGATTCACCTGTGTAGTTGTAGCTGAGCTTTGTTCATTTGTAACTTCAATGATCAAAGAGAAACATGCTGATTGACCGTACCTTCATAACGCCCACCAGCCAATCAGTAGTGAGTATGCAAATTAACCCAACAAAGATGGGTTGGTTTGCATATGCAGGTGCAAAGCTGTGCTGGGCATTCCACACCACCCCAGCCGATCACGGCCTCTGGGCAGCATGGGAAGGCGGAAAGGCAGCTTTTGCCAGAGCAAAGGCAGTGCTGGCAGCCAGGGGAAGGAAGGCCCATTCTTGCATGAATCTTTATGCATCGGGCCTCTAGTAATCGTATAATATTCTGTGGTTAACTGTTCCATAATTAACTGTTTTTCTGCTGACAGACACTTGGTTTGTTCCAGTTTGGGGACATGGCGCTCTGTGCAGTGTGACCATCCCTGTGTGTGTCTTGGGCACACGTGCATATGTGTCTCTGCAGCGTATGTGGGAAGCGGAAGGGTTGGTCATAGCAGTCAGTGGAAGCTGTCTCCCTAAGTGCTTGAGCTGGTCTGTGCTTCAGCCAGCAGTTCCCCATAGACGCCTGGCCTTGTTATAAGATGTGATGGCAACCTTGAACTCGATGTGCCTTTTTTACTCTCCACTTTTTTTTTTTTTTATGTAAAGATTCAGGGATGTTATTGATGTTTTTTTTGGCCAAGTGGGGGAATCTTTTCACTTTTATTTTTTAATTTTGCCAGCAAACGTTACCTGGAGCCAAAATCAGCGGCGGTCTCTCCAACCTGTCCTTCTCCTTCCGAGGAATGGAAGCCATCCGCGAAGCCATGCACGGGGTTTTCCTTTACCACGCCATCAAGGTAGGCAGGGCGCCCGCTTCCTCCGCCGCCGCCGCCGCCAGCCTCACCCAGGCCAGGGCTCTGCAGACCCGCGGGCCCTCCGAGCTGGCTGCCCGCTCCTGAGAGGCGAGTCTGAGCGGAGCGAAGCAGCAGGCGCTCCGCGGTCTGCGTGCTTCTGTGCCATGGCTGCAGGGCTGAGCCCTGGCGACGGAGACCACGGCCCGAAGCACCTCCCGGCTGGCCCTTGACACAGAAAGTGCCCCCGGAAATCCTCACCGATCTCTGTGTTGCCCCCAGTGCGGCATGGACATGGCGATCGTGAACGCAGGGAACCTCCCCGTGTACGACGACATCCACAAGGACCTCCTCCAGCTCTGCGAGGACCTCATCTGGAACAAGGACCCCGAGGCCACCGACAAGCTCCTGCGTTACGCCCAGGTAGGAGGAGCGCGCACGCGCGTTCTGACGGTGGGGGTGGGGGTGGGGGGGGTCCCCGGGCTGGATGGATGGCGCAGGCGTGGTTAGGAGGCCCTCCGCGGTGGGTCATGGGAGATCTGTACAGGGCGCTGCGGAGGAGGCGCTGTGGTGAGGCCGGGGAGAGAAATAGGCCACACGCAGGCTGTTCAGCATCCTGATGTCTGTTTGCATTTAGTTTAAAATGTGAAATTAGCCGGAACCGGTGTGGCTCCGTGGATCGAGCGTCGGCCTGCGGACCGAAGGGTCCCAGGTTCGATTCCGGCCAAGGGCATGGACCTTGGTTGCGGGCACATCCCCAGTAGGGGGTGTGCAGGAGGCAGCTGATGGATGTTTCTCTCTCATCGATGTTTCTAGCTTTCTATCTCTCTCTCTCTTTTCCCCTCTGTAAAAAATCAATAAAATACATTAAAATAAATAAATAAATAAATAAATAAATAAAATAAAATGTGAAATGAACTTTTCTCATACTAAAGTAATGCAATTCTAGAACATTTACAGTAGTTTGCTCGGTAACCTGTCTAGCATAAAAGAAGGCTAAGACATCGTTTTTTTGCTGCCAAATAAATAGTTCAGTAAGGACCCGTTGTACCCATCTCTGTCCTCATTTCCGTTAAGACGCACGGCACAGGAGGGAAGAAGGTCGTGCAGACCGATGAGTGGAGGAGCGGCTCCGTGGAGGAGCGCCTGGAGCATGCCCTCGTGAAGGTGAGCCTGGAGGGGGGGGGGCTGCTCGAGGAGAGGGAGCTCCGGGGCCGAGGCCCCTCCTCCCCGCCTGAGATGTCGTAGGGGTGCGGCTACAGCCAAGGAGACTCCCCAGGCCTCTTCCCACCCCCCACCCCACTTGGCAGTGTCCAGAGACATTTTTGGGTATCACCACTGGGGGGGGGTGGGGGGCTGCTGGATCCAGCGGCCAGGGATGCTGCTGAACATCCTCCAGTGCGCAGGCCCGCACGACGGAGAATTATTCAGCCAACACACCCGAGAGACACTCCCCCAGACCGAGCTGCTGGCTTTCCATCAGAAAGCAGTCCTGGCTCTTTGGCTGGTAATTGTACCATCAGGCAAGACTCTCCGTCTCTCAGCTTTAGCGTCCTCATTGTGAGTCTGGAGAATTTCAGAGTTCTATTTTTTTTTGGGGGGGGGGGGGACTCTAGAATTTACCCTTGAACTTCAGATTCACATGATTCAGGTTGTGGAACCAGCAAGCCACCGTCAGGGATCTCTGAGCTGGCGGAGCTGGAGGATGGCGCTCGGTCCCTGTAGGCTGGACAAGTCAGCAGAGGCTCCCTGGCTCCGAGCTTTGCCCACAGGTCCTGCCCCTGGTCCTTCCCGCCCAGCCCCTAATTTTACAGAGAGAAGCGCGGATTTCACGGGAACTATTTATTGATGTGTAATCTGTTAAGCCCCGACAGTAAACAGTCCCCAGGATGTAAAGTATTTTATTATTAATTTGAACTTCACTTATGAACGCTCCTCCTCTCACTCATAGCTCACTTTCCTGAGTACTTAATCATTAATCATCACTCTGTGTGGGCATCTCGTTTAATCCTTGGCGTGACCATGCGAGGCAAGCACCACGTGATGCTGTGACTTAGGAAGCTGAGGCTTAATGCATCCCCTGAGTTGGTGATAGGAGCCAGGATTTGCAAAACCTGTACTCCACGCCTTTCCGTGATTCAAATAATTTTTTTGTCAAATAATTTGTTGTTCCGTGATTCAAATAATTTATATTTAAAGTCACTGGTTTTGTTTTGTTTTTTTGCAGGGCATCGAAAAATATATTATTGAAGATACCGAGGAAGCCAGGCTAAACCAGGACAAATACCCCCGGGCTCTGCATATAATCGAGGGGCCTTTGATGAACGGCATGAAAGTGGTTGGTGATCTTTTCGGAGCCGGAAAGATGTTTCTGCCCCAGGTTGGCAAAAGATGGGGGAACGTTTTCACCACTGAAAGGAAAAGCCTGTCTTTTAATCAATGTGTTCGCATCTGTTCCTCAGGTTTTAATTTTTGACAACAGCTCAGGGCATTGAGATCTGGTCATTGGTCTCTCTAAATGTATTTAGGGGTTTCGTCACCAAAGATGAACCGTTAGGGTGGCGTGGAGGTTAGAGGTCAACTGCAAATAATTAGCTTCTCATCTGCACGTGTGAACTTCTGTACCGCTTCCTACCCCTATTAACCACCTACCTCCCCCCCTCATTAAAATAAAACCTAAGATAAGTGTAAAGTTAATAATAGTCACAATATATTTGACTAAACCGTTTTAAGCTGCATATTTTGAAAAAGTTATTACCATTTTAAATAGCGATGTAATTAAATATGTTTGGAGTAAAACCAGAACTCTCAGCAGCTACTAACCACATCAGTAAACATCTAGTCTGGGTTTGGGGCCTATAAAGGCTCCGGTGTGGCTGAGCTGAGGTCAAAGCACGCATACTTAATTCATGTAACATCTCACAGTAGCCAAGAGTGACCGGGTAGGTGGTTCCATAACGATGCCTGACTCTGCGTGTTCTCCCCAGGTTATCAAGTCGGCTCGGGTCATGAAGAAGGCTGTGGGCCACCTTATTCCCTTCATGGAGAAGGAGAGAAAGGAAGCTCAGGTGCTGTCCGGCACAGTCGAAGAAGAGGCGAGTCATTTGACCCGGCCTGTGGTCCCTGCAAGGAACTCCTCAAAGATTTCCTGGAGCGGAGCAGGGATAGGGGGCTGGGCTGTGCTCGTCATTGAGGTGAAGCAGGGAAATGGTCTCTGCCTTGGGCAGGCTGCTGAGTGGTTAGAGCGTCCCATACACCAAAGGGTCGCTGGTTTGATTTCTGGTCAAGGGCACGTACATGGGTTGCAGGTTTGGTACCCAGCTAGAGAGTCTACAGAGAGCAGCCAGTCGTCCTTTCTCTCTCACATAGATGTTTCTCTCCCTCTCTCCCCCTTCGGCTCTCTGAGCATGCTCTTGGGTGAGGATTTAAAAATGCCAGCACTGGTCAGGCGCCAGAGAACTGGGCGATCTGCTCTAAAATGACCACAGCCGTGCTTAGCTGCTTGTCTTGCTCTCCAGGATCCTTACCAAGGCACCATCGTGTTGGCCACCGTGAAAGGCGACGTGCACGACATCGGCAAGAATATAGTTGGAGTCGTTCTCGGCTGCAATAATTTTAGGTAAGTGCCACTGCCTTCAACCGCTTTCTCATCTATAATAATAAAAGTCTAATACGCTAATTAGACCGGACGGACCTTCCGGGTGAAGCCGTGCATCGGGCCTCTCGTTTAGAAATAAAAGCATCAACATGGTAGTTCTTTCGTGGGTGGGAGGGTCTGGCAGTGGATGCTAGAAGCTATTTTACTGTCTTTTTGCTGTGTTTTCAAATTTTCTACATTGAACACACCTTTTCAAACGATACGTTAGTAATGATCTAACCCAGTGGTCGGCAAACCACTTGGTTGACTAATGAGTTTACCAACCGCTGGACTAGACTAAATGTTGCCGGGTGGTTGGAAGCTGTGAGGATGAGGCAGTCGTGGCACATTGTGTGCAGAGAGGTAAAGGGCAGCATAGGACAGCGGTCGGCAAACTCGTTAGTCAACAGAGCCGCGGTTTGCCCACCACGGATCTAACCTGTTGTGTGTTCAATAAGAACAAAAGGAAACGTAGGAACTCTCCAGGAGGGTCACAGCAACCAAGAGGCGTCCTGAGAATTAACCTGGGGCCACAGAGGCTCTTAACCAGAACACGGGGCTGCCACCATGGCCAGAGGCATGCGGCGTATTTCCCGCTCCCCCACAGCGAATTGCCCCACTTCAGAGCTGAGGCCTGAGGAGACGGGCTCAGCGGGGTTTTATTGGGAGGGTTAGACTGTACAATTCCCTTCCCTTTGCCTGGACAGGACCAGGCAGGCTTCTGGGTAACGATGGATCTAGAGCTGGGAGTGTATACAAGTAAAATCCCTTTCTGACACCTCGCCTCATAGTGACTAACTGTGCAGCGCAAAGCTCTTTCCTTGTGAGAGCCGATGACCTTCAGTGAGTGCATGTTTTTTATAATCAGAACTTTTCAACATGTTCTTTATAATCAGAAGCCTAATGCAACGAACTAATGCCTTCTCTGGTCCACGTCCAGCCAACAGCCCTCCTGAGTCAGGGAGAGAAACTGGCTGCCTCGGCAGCTCTGTCCCTGGGGTTTCCCCTGCTGTCGGGACAGTTAACCTCAAAGGCCCCTCTCTCTGTGTTCAGGCTGGTTCGATGCAGCCACGGAGCGCTCAGGAAGGCTGGTCGTCTGCTATGTGCCCGGCATATACTTGAGGCACCAAATGGTTCTGCTGCCTTGACTCCATTCAGGGAGTTGACTTTGTTTTATCAGGCTGAGTGGCCAGACACATACTCATTGTGGTAACGGGACATGAACTGTTGGAAAGGTGGCTTGTAGATAAACTGCCTGGAGCATTCTTGAGCTCTCCTTGTCCTGTGTTGATCACGTTTTGCTTTGAAAAGTGACTAAGTCGCCGGGAATGTTGTTCCTGCAGTGGAGGTGTTTTAAGGGCCTGGGCGGGCGGTGGCGTGCCTCCATGCCCAGCAGTGGTGAGCGCTGCCTGTGAGGCCCGGGCTTCCCTCCAGCACACCCAGCTCCTGGCTCTCCTGCACTGAGCCCTCTCTGCTAGCCAGTCTCACCCGGAGAAACATCTGCCGGTGCACCTCGTTTCTTTTACAAAAACGCTGAACGTGCAAACTTTTCTGTCAGGCCCAGCACCCCTTTGGGTCTCCTGCCTCATACAACGAGCTCTTGGCATTGGTGCGTGTGATTTTGTAGTGTCGGCTAGTGGACACGTGCCCTGGAGACGCGTCTCGTGTAGTCACGTCTGAGCATCCGTGGCCTAGGCTGGGCGTCTGGGTGAGTCACCCAGCTAGTGAGGGAGTCTAGCTAGCCATCCGGCACCAAGTCCTAATGTACTTTTTTTTTTATAATATATTTTATTGATTTCTTTTACAGAGAGGAAGAGTTAGAAACATTGATGAGAGAGAAACATCCATCAGCTGCCTCCTGCACACCCCGTACTGGGGATGTGCCCGCAACCAAGGTACATGCCCTTGATTGGAATCGAACCTGGGACCCTTGATTCAGCACGTCGACGCTCTATCCACTGAGCCAAAGCGGTCAGGGCCTAATGCACCTTTCTTGTTCCTAGTTCTTTGTCCCTGATGCAGTGAACCTCATGAGATGCCTACAGTTTTTTCTTGGTGGGGGAAAATGTGAAGAGGACTAAAGGCGATAGTGCTGTCTAGACAGGAAACACATTTTCCTGGGGATGATGCAATAGAGCCTGTGATGTCATTAACCTAATAGTAAAAGAGCCTTTCAGAATGAGAAGCAGCAAGCGCTTATTGAGATAAAAAAAGAATAGCTACTTGGGAATCATTAATTCAGCAAGGAATGTTCTGCTTGGGAGACAAACACAAATCTATGACTACTAACCTTTACGTCGTCACAAGTTATAAAGAGCTTTTATAGAATTGATTTTTCTGTCTTTTTGTTGATTTTTTTTTCTTTTATCCTTTTTCTTTTTTTCTACTTATGGTTTTGATCCTGCTCTGCCTGCTTTAATAATTATATTTATTATTTAATTGGTAGTTGACCTTGTGGGTGACGGTATTCAGTGACTCCAGTTTACGTCAGCGCGGTATTTGATGGCTAAGTGACAATGTTCGTTCCAGCCTTGTCTCTAACACGTTCTCTCGCACTTTCTCACGCCCCGATTCTGCACGTCAGAGTCATTGACTTGGGAGTCATGACCCCCTGTGATAAGATACTGAAGGCGGCTCTTGACCACAAAGCAGGTACAGTGCAACCCCACGGGGCATCGCCTTTCGTGTCTGTCTCTCAGGGACTAGTTTGACCTGCAAGAGGAGGGGTTAGGGGACATTCAGACAGTGACGTGCCGGCTCCTCCATGGGGGCCACGCTTAGTGCCATGTATGATGGGGTGAGAGGTGACCAGGGGACAGAAACCCCGTGTAGCCCTGAGGAGGGCAGTGAGAGCCTCTCATAAGAGAACGGGGCGTTAGACTTTCTCTGTGTGCATGTTTATGTTTCTTCACACACTGTGACACGTTCCCGTCTGGGACTCCATAACAAGCAGTGTATTCTAGTGCCCGGCTCACCAACACCGTGGCAAGTACATTATTGCAACTTCAAGCGACAAACCGTATTTACTACCAAAAGCAAACGATAAAGGGAGGCCCCCAGTTAGAAAAGATGTCTTAGAATTAGAAATTGGGAATTTATTTATATTACGTCTTATAGTCCGTTACCGAAGTTTTTTAGGTGAGTCTTCCTCCTCTTCTGTCGTCCTCTTTCTAATTTGTCCTTTCTTCCTTTTTTTTAAAATAACAGATATAATTGGCCTGTCAGGACTCATCACTCCGTCCCTGGATGAAATGATATACGTTGCCAAGGAGATGGAGAGATTAGCTATAAAGATCCCGTTGCTGATTGGAGGGGCCACCACCTCGCGGTAAGTCCCGCTCAGGAGCTCCGCGCTTCATTCACTTCCCATCCTCGGGGAAAGTTAAGACCGGGGTTGCTCTTCCCTGTGCTTGTTCGTACATGGCCTCCTCATGTGTAAGCATGTGTGCTTTTCGGCCTTCCCTAAGACAAGAGGGACTTGCCCTCCAGGACCAGAGGCAGGGGTGTGACTGACGCTGGGACTGGGGTTTCGGTGAGCCTGGTCTCAGGTCACTAGTGATTGTGCTGTGAGTACCATGTATTAGCTTAGTAAAGAGAATGGTAGCAGAACTTAAGGTTATTGTCAGGATGAAATAAATACCTTCTAAAGCCGCAGGTGTAAAATAGGACGAACAACTAAGTGGGCAGAGGTAGTGAAATGCATTGCGAGTTACGTTAATGTGATGCTGGTTTCAAAACAAGGACCACTTTTTATGATGGGACACCACACTCGAGTTCAAGAAGAGGAAGCCACGTTGCTGCTGGTGCAGACTGGGACATTTCCAGGTCATCCATTCTCTCCCGTCTTTTACCAGATGAGCCAGCAGATGAAAGAGGTGTTTTAAAAAGCATTCAGAAGCAGCGCGGCCAGCCTCGCCCTTCGCTGCGTTATGTCAGTTGGACCAGCAGACGGGCAGTCTGGGCCGTTGCTCAGACATCCAGCCCTCAGGACAGTGCGTTTTGCACTGCAGTTAACTGGGCAGTCATAAGGATTCAAGGGTGTTTCCCCCTCAATACTAACATTTCCAAGTTTGGCAGAAGGGACTTGGGGCTGAGCCAAGGTCACGGAATGTTTTTGTTGCTTCTGCGTCTCTGTGTTATTTGCGTTGCGTTGACTTAGGGCCTGAGATTCCTTCCTGCAAGGCCACGGCGAGGGTAGGCCAGGGCCTGGCGGTGACTCCCAGTGACAGGCGCAGCCACAGAGAGTGCTCCTGCCTCGTGTCTGGTTCTCGGGGGCCCTGGCTGTACCCCAGCTTATTCGGAGGAAGATACTCAACTTCCTTCGGATAGGTTGCTACCGGTGTGAGGTCCCAGTCTCATCCTGGACCTGCTGGCAGGGGCTTGAGGACAGACTTCTTTACAGCAAAGAACAACACACACACACACACACACACACACACACAAACTCACACTCACACTCACACCCCTTTTCCCATCAGGGTGGGGAGCAAGTCATTCTATTTTACCAGGGAAATTTGACATTTTACAGTGGAAAGCACTGTGGAAACAACGGTTCTGAACACGAGTGGGGCGGGGAGTCAGCACCAGTGGGCGTGTTTTTCTCCTGCCCCCTCTCTCTCCAGAACCCACACGGCAGTGAAAATCGCACCCAGGTACAGCGCGCCCGTGATCCACGTCCTGGACGCGTCCAAGAGCGTGGTGGTGGTGAGTGTGTCGCGAGGAGAGGACAGAGTGCTGAGCGTCAGGGCTGTCACCCAACACCTATTGATGTTTGTCCAGTTCCACTAAAGATGTGAAAGAGCTCATGGCTTCTGAGGGTGTCACTGCCATTGTGTGCGTTGCTGGCAAGGGGCGGTGAGCGTGCAGTGCCCTGGGCTTTCGCAGTCCCCATCCTGAACTTGCAGCAGGAGGGCTGGCTGAGGGACAGGAATGGTGGGACCAGGACACCCTTGACCTGGACACACCACCCCAGGGAGAGAGAACCCAGCCACACAGAATTATTTACAGACACAGTGTACACTCTCTGAACGCCATGCCAGAGCGAAAGGAATGTGGAATTTTTTTAAATGCCCTGTTTCTAGTTCAAAAAACATTTAGTCAGGCCCTGGCCATTGTGGCTCGGCTGGTTGGGTGGCATCTGGGCACTGGCAGGTTGCTGGTTCGATTCCCAGTCAGGACACATGCCCGGGTTGCGAGCTCAATGCCTGGTAGAGGGTGTGCAGGAGGCAGCTGATTGACATTTCCCTCTCATATTCAACGTTTCTCGTTCTCTCTCCTCCCTTCCTCTAAAAATTAATTTAAAAAATATATGTTTAAAAAACATTTAACCTGGAACAGGCCAGCTGATCCTTCCCCATTTTTGTGCAAGAGCGGAACCTTCCAGGCCTGCTGAGTTAACCCTTCATTGCACAGCTAGGCAGGAATTAGCACAGTCGGTGAAGGGAGAGGAAAGGGTGCCAACCCAGGAAGGCTTCCTGATGGAGGTGTCGCCAGAACCAGCCAGTGTTGCCTGTTTTAACCGTTGGTGCTGCTCTGTGCCTTTGACTGACCTGGATCTTGCGTTTTTAGTGTTCCCAGCTCTTAGACGAGAACCTGAGAGATGAGTACTTTGAAGAGATCACAGAAGAGTACGAGGATATTAGACAGGACCACTATGAGTCTCTCAAGGTGAGTGACCACGCCAGGGGGCGGCTGGTTTGGGTGCTAAAACAGTCCTACAGTTTTCACTGTGACTTGACTATTTTGAGGAGGGGGAAGGTTTGGGAACATTCTAGAGAAGTCCTGTTTCCTAGTTGAGATCAGAGTTCTGTGTCTGAGTTTCCAATAGTTGGTGGTCCTATGAAAGTTAATTGTCCTCCCTCCTCCACACGTATTGGGTAGTACGTATTGCAGCAGGAATCAGGTGCTGTGCTCGGACCCGAGTTACGGGGGATGAATAAAACATGAGCCAGCGGGGGGACTGGAACTGAAACGGTGCTGGGCACACGCCACAGACCCTGGTTCCTGAGCAAACAGTGGGAGGACACGGGACGGGACGGGAGCACTGGCGTCTCCCCGGCTCCCCGCACTGACATCCCCGCCCCGCCGACGAGCTTCCTTGGACATCCTTTGGTGGCGGCAGCTAAAACCCCAGAGCCTGACAAGTAAATTCTTTTCCTTTCATAGGAGAGAAGATACTTACCCTTGAGTCAAGCTAGAAAGCACAGCTTCCATATCGACTGGCTGGCGGAGCCGCCCCCAGGTCGGTCTGTGTTGAGCAGAGGGAGCCGTGGTGGTAACGGGGCTGGAGGGCTGCTTGCATGGACGTGGCTACAGAGCCGGCCGGGCAGCTGGAGGTTCCTGATTGTGTCTAGTGATGATGATGAGGAGGAGGAGGGACAGTGACGATGGGAAAGAAAAGCAAGCAGTTCCATGTGCAGAGAAGCAGGCACCGCAGCCGCTCCGGGTCCCGGGCACGGCTCTGCCCACTTCCGTCTGAGGACCTGCGTGCGGGGTCATGGTGGGGAGGCGGGAGGATTCAGCCTCTGCTGTCTGCTAAGCCCAGCGCCTCGCGGTGCTGGGGAGGGAAGCCCTCTCGGAAGTCCTCAGTGATCTCACGGGTGATGCATTTTATCGACTCATCTTGGCGTATTCTCCTATACCCACTGCCACTTAAGAAGTAGCCTACTGCCCATTTAGAGAACAAGACGGTCCCATGTAGTGGGAGTTCCCTGGGGTCCCCCCTCCCCTGCATGATCCTGAATTTGATGCCTCAGCTCCATGCCTTCCCCCTACACTGTGACTGTGTGTGTGTGTGTGTGTGTGTGTGTGTGTAGCCGTAGGTGATAGAGATTAGTCGTTTTATGTCTTTAAACTTTATATTCGTATCTTTCCACAGCGACCTCTGCCTCAGTATAGTCCTTATTTGTACATGTGGGAGATTAACCTAAGTCTTTTTTTTCTTGGATGGAGTGGGGGTGGGAGGGTTGAGGGAAGATTCCAAGGGTGATTTAGTTGGTTACACGGGAGAATTTAAAAAAATATATATATATATTTCTTTATTGATTTCCGAGAGAGAAGGGAGAGAGAGAGAGAAAAATCACTGATGATAATCATTGATCGGCTGCCTCCAGCACGTCCCCTACTGGGGGATTGAGCCCTCCACCCAGGCGTGTGCCCTTGACTGGGAATCGAACCTGGGACCCTTCAGTCCACAGGCCAACGCTCTGTCCACTGAGCCAAGCCAGCTAGGGCGGGCGAATGGTTTTATTGAAGACTGGCTGCAGAGGGACTCCCTCTCCGTGGCAGTGGGAGGGCCCCTCTTGGCGAAAGGACCGCGGGGGTCGAGGCGGGGCGGGGCGGGGCGCGGGAGCCAGCAGAGCGGGGGCCCCCCAGGCCCGCGTTCCCGCTGACCTGACGGTGGCGCTCCCCTCCCTCAGCGGCGCCCACGTTCCTCGGCACGCGTGTCTACGAGGACTACAACCTGCAGGCGCTGGTGGGCTACATCGACTGGAAGCCTTTCTTTGACGTGTGGCAGCTCCGGGGCAAGTACCCGAACCGCGGCTTCCCCAAGATATTTGACGACAAGACTGTAGGTGCGTGCGGTGCTCCCTCCTCCCTCCTCCCTCCTCCCTCCTCCCTCCTCCGCCACGAGCCGGCGAGGCGGGCCCCAGCCGGGGAGGCAGGGCAGGCTTCCCGGAGGAGGTGGTGTGTGGACTGACTCTTGAAGGTTAAGAGGGAATGACTGAGGCTGGGCCTGGGGACGGGGGGGGGGGGGGGGGGAGCACGGAAGAAAGAAAGGGGTCCCACTTAAGAAGGTTCCACATACCAGAGGTCCCTGAGGGCCAGTGGCGTTGTATGTGCACGAGAGCTTCGGCCACAGGAGGATTCGCCTGCTTCGTGTCACTCTGTGGGGCAGACAGGTTTGGGGGGGGGGGCCACAGGTTCGGCGCCTTGCCTTCACCAAGTAGAAAAATGGAAGCGGTGTGAGCTGGGGAGACAGACTGGGAGCTGCATGTGGCAGGAACCGCAAACGGACACTGCCCTACCCTGAGTTGCGCTGATGAGAAAGCGTTTGAGGGGAAGGAGGGTGAGAAAGCGACCGGAGAGGGTGGCGGCTGTAAGGGAGGCGCTGCTGGCCACGCGCATCTTTGTCTGAGTCCCTACGACGCGCTCCTCCCAGGCCAGGAGGCCAGAAGGCTCTACGACGATGCCCAGAACATGCTGAGCGCTCTGATCGCCGAGAAGAAGCTGCAGGCCCGGGGCGTGGTGGGCTTCTGGCCCGCGCAGAGCGTGCAGGACGACATCCGCCTGTACCCCCCGGGCTCGGAGCCCCGGGCCGCCCAGCCCATCGCCACCTTCTACGGACTGCGGCAGCAGGTACGGGAGCGGGGGGGAGGGGGGGAGGGTCCTGCCCCAGGCTGTCTGCTCTTCGGTGTCAGCAAAACACGTAAATAATTAAGTCTGAGCTTTGGGTAAATGGTAGCCTGACCCTCCTCCCCCCAGGTGACCGGTCACAGGCCTGGCCAGAGGCCTCCGAGGGCGAGGAGAGAAGGCGGTGGAGGAGAAGCCCCGCCCCCGCCTGGGTGGTCACACGTCAGCTGTGAACATGCGTGTTGTTAAAGTGCGGGGCTGGTGGCTTCTCTTTCGGGGAGCCGGGCGGGACCAACCTGGGCTGGATGTGAACCAGGGGCTCAGGGCTCTTGAGGGGCTGTCTTGTTTAGTTTCCACGCAGCCTCGCTTGGGGGCAGTTTGCGTGTGTTCTGCGGAGGACAGGAAGGTGGCGGACGTTGCGCTGAGTCCACCGCCTGGAGAAGAGCCAGCCTGTCCTCACCCCCTGGCTGTTGTCACAGCCCCGGCTTCTGACGAGAGCAGGCCCAGTGCCCCGCGGCCGCCCCCACACGTCCCCACCTTGCACAATGCAGATAGGATATGCACGTCCCTTCAGCTGCTATTTAAAAAAAACCGTTGTCCTAATCAAGAATTGGAACCAGACCTCACCGGAGCTATTAACAAAGGGCCGCAGTAAATTAGTCTCGCGCGGTTTTGCTACCATTTCAGTCATTCAGAAGTGATAGTGTTGCTTTTAATCCTAACCACAGTATAACTCACAGTGACAGGGAGTTTTACCCTAACAACATCTGTAGAGATTCTTAGCTGAGGACATTAAACAGCACATGACAAGGGAAGTGGGCGGCCACGTGACCATGGCACTCAGGCCAGACGCCCCGGATAGAGACGGGGTCTGCCCTGGGGGACTGGCCACATTCCTTCCCCAGAGTCACGAAGGTCACAAGCCTCCTGGCCCCGTGTTGCATCCTGCAGGTCCCGTGTCCTCTGATCTGCGTCCAGCCCCGAACCCTTTGTGTCCAGTGCGTGATGACTCGGTGTGTCCTTGTTACCCACGCAGATGGGTGTTTGAAGTCACTTCCCCCAGCCATGGATGGAGCGGGCCGGCCGCAGTGGGTCCTGCTCGGGGTCTGTGCCCTGTGCCCCTTGGGCAGGAAGCTCTGCCTCCCCTGGCATCGCGAGCACAGGGAGGGTGTGCTTGTTTCCAGAACCAGCGAGCAAATCGCTCCTTGGCTGCTGGGCCGACCACTCATCAACTGACTGGCCAGCCCCAGTGCCGTGTGGGGGTCAGGAGCGTACCCGCCAGGCCGCCGCGCTCTGACCCTGAGCTAGTGGCTCAGGCTTGTCCACCTCGGGCTTCTTGTCGGGAAGCAGATCTGATAGCATTTCTTCCTTCACAAGGTGGCTGAGAGGATGAGATTAGTTCATTCGCCTGAAGCCTCTGGCATAGCGTAAGCGTCTCTCAGTCAATATTCGTTATTAGGTGTTCATGGTCTCAGCAAAATTATTGCTGGTGAAATATTATACATTCAAGGTCTTATTTGTCAGCTTAATGGCAGGGAAGAGCCAGACATCAGCTGAAAATGGAAGATGGGAGAAGCATGGCCTGGGGAGAGGGCCCCAGTTTGATTTGAACCAAGGGAAGCAGCGGGTCCTGCTGAGTGCTGGTTTCGGCCGGTCCAGGGCCCCCTCAGCTGTCCCTGAGCCACCAACGTGGGCAGCCATGCCCGTGCTGCTGGTGCAGAAGCCGAGGCTTACATGTGGGTTCCGTGTTGATTGTGCACAGAAAATGCTTTGGGGGAAGTTTTTATTTTGAATGGATATTGAGGTCCCAGTTCCTAGCACAGAGCCTGTGGCCTCAGTAAACTTGCCGTTAGGCCGAAACCGGTTTGGCTCAGTGGATAGAGCATCGGCCTGCGGACTGAAAGGTCCCGGGTTCGATTCCGGTCAAGGGCATGTACCTTGGTTGCGGGCGCATCCCCAGTAGGGGGTGTGCAAGAGGCAGCTGGTCGATGATTCTCTCTCATCGATGTTTCTAACTCTCAATCCTCTCTCTTCCGCTCTGTAAAAAATCAATAAAATATATTAAAAAAATAAACAAAAATAAATTTGCAGTTAGTTTGTAAATGAGCAGATTAACTGTTTCTTTACTTTTTTTAAATTAAATTTATTGATTTCTTACAGAGAGGAAAGGAGAGAGAGAGAGAGTCAGAAACATCGATGGCAGAGAAACATTGATCAGCTGCCTCCTGCACACCCCCCACTGGGGATGTGGCTGCAACCAAGGTACATGCCCTTGACCGGAATCGAACCTGGGACCTTTCAGGCCACAGGCCAATGCTCTATCCACTGAGCCAAACCGGTTTCGGCTTAACTGGTTTCTTAACTACGTATGCCATGCCGTAGTTTAAAAATCCCATTTCACTTGTTCATTCAACAAATCTGTATGGAAATATTGTGTTCTCTTCTAAGTGCTGTGGGGTTAAGTGTACAAAATACACGCCCCTCCCTGTTCAAACGGGTATCATTCACCTGTGTTGCTGTCCGCTGTGTAGTGCCACGTCCCTGCTCATGCCTCCCCACCTCCCCGCCTCGGGTTTCAGGCAGAGAAGGACTCGGCCAGCACGGACCCGTACCTCTGCCTCTCGGACTTCATCGCGCCCCTGCACTCGGGCCTGCGGGACCACCTGGGCCTGTTCGCCGTCGCCTGCTTCGGGGTGGAGGAGCTGAGCCGCGCCTACGAGGAGCAGGGCGACGACTACAGCAGCATCATGGTCAAGGCGCTGGGGGACCGGCTGGCCGAGGTAGGGCAGCCGGGCCCTGAGGGCAGAGGCGGGGCGGGGGCCCGAGACGGCGCCCAGGAGCGGGCATCCCGGGGACCAGGCGGACGGGCTTGAACCGCACGCAGCTTTCAGCCCTGTCTCCTCCAGCTGTTCTCCCACGTCACCTTCTGGGCAGCTGGACCCTTCCATGGTGCTGCAGCTGGAGCCGCCCCGAAAACCTCGACGTGACTGTCTTAGTTCTCATGTCTCCGTTTCCTGCTGTGACATGACTTCCTGAGGAGCCTGAGAAATTAAAATGGACGCGTTTCAGAGCTCCAGTTCTAACCCCGGGGTCCCCTCTGGGGTGCCCTGTCTGCATGCAGTGAGCGAGCTGAGCTCTGGGGAGGTCCTCCCCCTTTCCTGACGCCAGCAGTGAGCAATGAGCAGCTGGAACGGCCCCAGCTTTCCCTTCTGGCCACAGTGCGCTGTAGACGGGCCTGCAGGGAAATGTTGACATTAAAGGGCTTAGAATCCTTGGATCGTTAACTATGGGACTCCAGTGCCTAATTTGAGGCCAGAACCGAGCCAGCAGAGCAACTAAGGACACGACAAAAGGGGTCGAGAATCCGGCTTGTGCCCCGCTGGCTGGTCCCGGCACGGGCGCCGCCTGCCTGGCGTTGATGGAGGGGGGCAGGCGTGCTGATGCCCGGGCACCGGCCTCGGCCTGACCCCTGTCCCCTTGTTCCGGGTGCCAGGCCTTTGCCGAGGAGCTCCACGAGAGGGTGCGCCGAGAGCTGTGGGCCTACTGCGGCAGCGAGCAGCTGGGCGTCGCCGACCTGCGGAGACTGCGCTACGGAGGTATCCGCCCGGCGCCCGGCTACCCCAGCCAGCCCGACCACACCGAGAAGCTCACCATGTGGGAGCTGGCCGGCGTTGAGCGGTGCACAGGTACGTGCCGGGAAGCGGCGTGCCTGCCTCTACTCGGCGGCTGCGCTTCTGTCCACAAGCCGCCCAGCTGCCAGGCCGGTGCTGGGCGCCGAGCGTGCGAGCCTGTCTCCTGCGTCGCTCTCCGCAGGCATCCGGTTAACGGAGTCGTTAGCGATGGCGCCTGCTTCCGCCGTGTCCGGCCTGTACTTCTCCCATCTGAAGTCCAGATACTTTGCCGTGGGGAAGATTTCCAAGGATCAGGTAAGTTCGCCGCTTCAGGGATATGTGGCTTCCCCGGGTGGATCCCTGTCTTCGTTTAAGTGGAACTATAGACTCTATTGTATTTCACATATAAATGAGAACAAAACGGGAAGGAAAGGACAAAGACATTTACCTCAGTTGAGGTCCTGATTCTGACCCTCTCATTTACATGCAGACCACACTCACGCATGCACACTCACGTGTGTGTGCGTACACACACATGCATGCATGTGCACGCTCAGCCCCCAGCCAGCTTCTAAGATTTAAATGTTCACTGCATGTTGTTTCCTGCCCATAGCTTAGGCAACTTAGTGAATAGACAGCTCTTCCTCTCCATTTAACTCCGCTCATAAGACGCGAAACGGAAGGTACTTAACGTTTCTGGGCAGATCCTGTGGGAACCTCCGTTCAAAAAGTCATATCATTTTGGTCTGACGAGCTGCTTCGTATCTTCGCAGGTTGAGGATTACGCTCTGAGGAAGAACATGCCTGTGGCCGAGGTGGAGAAGTGGCTTGGGCCCATTTTGGGATATGACACGGACTGACTTGCTGTGTCTCACCTTTTCTGTACTTGACGACCCTCAAGAGAATAGAGCCCAGAGTCAATTAGGAAGCAGCAGCACGCAAGCCCACACGCATGGGCCACACCAGCGCGGCTTTGTGTCCCGTCGTCGGGCGAAACCCAGAGGAGCGGGGTCTGCCCGGCTCCTGGGAACACGCTCCCGTGTGTGACCCTCGGACGGCAGCAGCCGGGGCGTACGCTGGGGGATGAGCCAAAGTGGGAGTCAGCCTGCTGCTTTCATTTCTGCCCGGGACCTCAGTGGACACTTGGTATTGTTTTTCCTTCTTGGAAAAAAAAGGGGCTGCGACTCCGCCGAATAGAATAGAGCCCTTTAGGCCATGGCAAACCGGCGCAGTGAGAGGTGGGGCTGCCACCGTGGACTCTTGACAGGGAAGAAAGGAGAGCTGCTCTTTCATCTTCCAGAGGCTTAAAGGATGGCAGCGATCCCTCCGGCAAAGGCACTCCGTAACGGCTGGCTTGTCCGGAAGACGCCAGCTGTTTGCATTCGTGTGGTCAAATACAGCCGTCATGCTCTCTAAGCATTTTGTCCGCGCACGTTTCCGTGTTTCTTAAAAGGTGGGAAGAGAGAGAGGGCTGTTAGGGCCGTTCACATCTCTTTTCTTTGTTTTCCAGAAGCTGTGTACAGTGGCAACTACACCGGCATGAGAAAAGATAGAGAAACCACAAATGAGAACAAGTCAGAAATGGAGACTATCACACAAGGAGTTTAGGGAAACCCTGGGACAGTATGAAACATAACGTCCACATCATAGGGACACCAGAAGGGGAAGAAAGTGAGCCAGGTGTGGAGAGCCTCTTTGAAGTAGTGACAGAAAACTTTGCTAACCTGGTGAAAGAGAAAGTCACACGGGTTCAGGAAGCACAGAGACCCAATCATGATGAACCCAAAAGAGACGCTCCACTTGTATTTCCCTCCTCTCCATGGGGAAAGGGCCATATTCATGTCGAGGCCACTTCAGACAGGCCCAGCCCCTCTCCCCCTGCCCCTTGAGAAGATGGGAGGGCCCCGTGTGATTTGTGTTAAGCCATCGCTCCCAGACCACGACACTCCTTGCCCGGGTCCCAGCAAAAGGCCAGTGGAGAGCGTAGTGCTGGGAGCCAGGAGGGAGACACAGAGGCTCCGGCCACGTGCCAGGAGAGCCACAAGCCCGCCACTCGGCCGCGTGGAAGCCAGTACGAGGAGTGCCGTTTGGTGATGGGAAAGCTGCAGCACCAGCATCAGCATCCATCCCCTTGTCACTTTCCTTGCTGTTCAGAATTGCAAAAAATAATCACATACCCACACACGTGTATTTTTAGCTTTGTATCTTCCAAAGCACTTGGCAAGCTGAAAACGCAGGCACCCGCCACCTGCCACGACCAGCTTGTGACTCGGAGCACAGCCTCTCTAAGACAGCAGCTGCCCTGCAGCCCGGGCGAGGCCGCGGAGCCACGGAGCACTGGCCACACCTGAGGACGGGGGTGGGGGACAGGGTGGGGAGGCGGCCGGCGGGATTCTAAGCAGCCGATACAAGGAGCCGGTGGTAGGATCCCAGCAGCAAACACAGACACACGTTTCTTGCACAGCCTCATGTCTCCTGAAGCCCCTTGGATGCTTGCATGATCCCAGGAACCAGGCACCTGTCAGATTCAGAAGACAAGAGAACACACACCACGGTCGTCCCGCATGGAGTCGCCTGTGTCCGGGTGGCTGGGAGGGTTGGGGCTTACACAACAGGATCCGTGAAAAGCCCGCAGCTTCCACGATCAGAGTTTGACATGCAATCTGAAGGCTGTGAGCAAATGTGGCTGCCACATGCTCACCTCTCATGCAGCGGTTTGCCTTCCCTGGGTCTCACTGGCCCACTGGTGGTCTGACCGACCCAAACAAGTCAGAGTCTGTCAGAATGACGTCTTCGGTCTCGGAGGCCTAGAGTAGAAAGCTGAGGAGTGCAGGCAGTGAGCGAGCGCCTGTGTCCCCGATGTCCTCTCCTCACGATTGAGCAACCAGCGGGAGGACCGGGCCCGGCCGTGTTGAATGGAGGTGCGCTGAGCTGTTGCGTTGGGCGCCCGGCCTATCTCAGGAGGTCACCCTGCTCTGCATTGCCTGTCACCCCCTCCTGCCGACAGGCCTGTGCTCACGAGCTTTGGCAAAGCTGCCAGAGGGCACCGTTTCCTGTCCCCGTGCCCCGAGGCAGCGGCTCTGCAGGGTAGCCTTGTCCCCTCCTGGCTGTGGCCTCTGTGACCCGTCATCGCCCTCACTTCCCAGAAGGAGGAGGAGGAGGGTGGGTCCCGTGTACTCTGTCGTCTGACCAGCAGAACTCTCCAGAACGGCCCCGTGTGGCCCAAACTTGCAGCTGGGGAGGAGGGAGAAAGCAGCCCCCCCTCCTCCCCGTGAATAAAAAGCCTCAGTCGGTGCCTCAAGTACAAGACCGAGAGGGAACCCTAACGCACGCCATGAGACAGCGATGTGTCCGTGTAGGGTTATTCCTAAAGACTTCTCACAGAATCTCTCAGCAATCCTATCAGCGGAGGGAAAACTGCTCACACCCCCATGGGACACGTGGCCCAGCTCAGGGTCCCGCCCGGGCCACCTGACCCTGCCAGCACCCCGTCTTGGGTGCCGGCACAGCTCGTTTCCGAACCGTTTAGATTTTGTGTCTCCCGTGTCTGGGCGGTAATTTTCCTTCTCACTGGGAGCAGTGGTTCTCGCCAGTTGGAGCGCTTTTGCAAAAAAAAAAAAGGGGTTATTTATATTCAAAATCACTTCAGGTTCTCACAGAGCTCAGAGTTGGTGTGTGGTGTTTTTTTTTTTTTTTTTAAGAGACTATGAAATGAAATGAAAACATTTCTCCCTGAGCCTGACTGATTTAACAGCGTTTACATGCTACCGCTGTCCGCTTCCTAGACAGGACCCTCTGGAAGGGGAGGGTCTGTGTCCTCACTCGCCTTCGGTGTTCCTGCACCAGGGGTGTTTGCTGTGCTGGCGCTCTCAGCCCCACACACAGCTCCGCGGGTATAAATGGAACGCCATCTCGAAAGTCCTCTTACTTGGGTGACTTAGGATGGAGGGCGGACCGCATTTTGCCCCAGGTTGGTTTTTGCTGTCACAGCACAGCGGGCGCTCCCACCAGGCTGCCGTCTGTCACCCTCGTTTCCTCTGCCCAGCTCCCCACGCTGGCCTGGACCCAGCCCAGCTCCTGTCCCCTCCCAGCCCACAGAGGGAGGACGGTGTGACCAGCTCCCTCCCGCTCCCACGGGATTCAGCATAAATACTGAGCGGGGGTCCCCAGTGACACCACTTTTTCTCCCAATAGGGGGCGCTCTAGGGGTCGGTGTTGGCTGAACCCTGGGCCGCAGTGTCTGTCCTCTCACCAGGTACCGGGTGCAGTAGGGACCCAGTAAGTGTGGGAGCCACGCACCCCACTGAACAGGTCCCGCCGATGACCCGAATGTTCCTGGCCTTGGCAGTGAGGTCGCTGCCCGCTCTGTCCCCAAGACTCCGGGACCCCCGGTGCTGTGGCGTGCCAGGAGGTGCGGCCTGAGGGGCCAGCTTGCTGGTAGCCCCGTTCCCAGTGACCCTGCCGGCACCACAGGGTGGTCACAGGCCACCATACCTGTGCCCCCGTCCCAGGTAATGAAGTGGGCGAGGCAGAGCCTACCAGTGACAGCAGTGGGGGCGCTGCCAGGGATTGAGTGGACGCCTTTCCCTCCAGTTTCTCTACCGAAGGTCAGGGTCTGTCAGGCTGGGCAGCGCGCACACAGGGAAAGCTGGAGTTCAAGTCCAGGTCTGCAGGAAGCCAGCTCACACCCTCAGCTCTTCCGTGGCCACTTCCAACGGGATTGGATTGCCTTCACCTCCCACAGCTACTTATTCTTTGAGACTCGGAAAGTAAAACATACTTTTTTTGCATTGTATCTTTGGCCTGAACTGGCCTCCTCTTTCCTTCCTCCTTCCTTCCCTCCCCCTTTTCATTTTTGCCCAGGGATATTTTTCCCATTGATTTCTAGAGAGAGTGGAAGGGAGAGAGGAGAGAGACACACGTGCCCTTGACTGGGGATCGGACCTGTGGTCCTTGGGTCCCAGGGCATACCCTCTAACCACTGATCCAAACCGACTTGATTTTTAAAATACTTTTCAAAGCGCCTGGCTCACTGCTGTGTCCATAGGGGGTCCACAGTCGAGATGGAGAAACATGGGTAGAGCCACATCCCTGAACACAGGGAAGAGACCAGGAGGCCTGGTGCAGACTCGGTCCCAGGATCTGCTCCTGGCGCAGCCGGTCCTGATGGCCCGAGAGCGGCCGGGAACTTGGCAGCGCAGGTCCCGTCTGCAAATAGTGCTCACAGGCTGACGTCTCGCCCTCTGTAAACATTTCTTTTTTAGAAGCGGTTCTTAACTCCTGCACCCCTCGGCGCAGCCCTCGTTTCTTGAGAAAATATCTGCGCACATTCTCCAGCCACAGGAGATGACTCAGGCCAGGGACCCGGCTGTTCAGGGCTGTGGCTGCCTTCCTGCCCCTAACCCATAGGCCCCAGCCCGCTCAGGAGCGAACCCCCTCACCCCCCGAGCCTGAGACTACCCTGACCCCTCTGCTCCTATGCTCCTGCCTCGGCGGTTGCCAAAGGAACCACAAAAATATTGCTCCACGTGCTCCAGGAACAAAATGTCGGTGCCCCTTACTGTTGTATTAACTTAAACCCTAACGTGTGGCCCTAGCCGGTGTGGCTCAGTGGATAGAGCATCAGCCTGTGGACTGAACGGTCCCGGGTTCGATTCCGGTCAGGGGCACATGTCTGGGGTGCGGGCTTGATCCTCAATAGGGGGTGTTCAGAAGGCAGCCAGTCAATGACTGTGTCTCATCATTGATGTTTCTATCTCTCCCTCTTCCCTTTTCCCTGAAATCAATAAAAATATGTTAAAAACAAACAGATCCTAAGGTGTGGAAATCAGCCCAGCCTGGAAGCGGTCCCCTTGCTGAC